TATATATATATATATATATATATATATATACCCCTCAAAAGAATTTCAAAATATATGTTTAAAACGGCTAGGTGAAACGATCCAATACCACCTCATGTTAGGGAAACGCATAAGGCGGGAAACGAAATGTCTATATATAAGGCGTTAAATGGAAGTCTTTCAACAGAAGCAATGGCGGCCACTGTGCGCCTTCTCAGCGTCCGAGCTCTCGACCGCCATCTTAGTCATTTCAATCCTCACTGTTCTGTCTCACTCCCTCTCCGAAACCCGAAACCTAGATCGATTAACTATACCTCCGCAGCTGGGTTCCGATCTGCAGCCGTCAGCTCCAGCCACGGCGTCGGCCGTTGGCCGGTGCCCTTTCTCGAACAGTCGCCGCTATTTCTCTCAATCTCCTGCTCGGATCCACTGAAGGATTGCGTCGATGGTCCCGTACTGGAGCCAGGGAAGGGGTTTCACCACTGGGATCCAGTGAGCGAGCTCGCCGTACGGCAAGGCAGCGGGGAGAAGGGGGCAATATGGACGGTGGTGCTGTTAGGATGGCTGGGTGCGGAGGAGAAGCATTTGAAGAGGTATGCGGATATCTATAACGCGAGGGGGATTCGATCTGTTCGGTTTGTGGTGCCGCTTTGGGAGATGGTGGGGTTGGATTTTGGGCGGAGGATGGAGGCGAAGGTGGCGAGGTTTGCATTGGAGCTGGCGAATTGGTGCTTGGAGAGTGAGAAAGATGGGAGGGAGCGATATTTGCTCTTCCACACCTTCAGCAATACTGGTTGGCTAGTGTAACTGTTCTCTGCTTTGCTCCTCTAGTTTCATCTATATTTGACTGCGTTTGGCGTTATTATTTGTGTATTAGGGTTAATATGTTTTGTTTTGGATAACTGAGGCCTAGCCTCAATATTGCCAAAGAAACAATTCGAACCGAATATATGTATAAAAAATGGCCTGGAAATAGCTGATTTATAGATATCAACTAGAAAAGAGGCACCGCGATAAGTTAACCGAGTATTTATTGGCGAAGAGGGCGATTTTCTTGCCTGAGGATTCGATTCTGAACCTATCAACTATATTGCAAGAAGATGCTATTTTATAATTAGACCCTTCATTTGTGCTTGAAACATTTCGTGCGCTAATGAACGGTTTGATAGATGGACCTAACTGACTGATGTCAAAAGCCATTATCATACATTGGCCAAAGAAATCATACCTTTGGGTGTCATAGCTGATTAATGGAACCTTCATATCCCAGCTTTATCCTGTTCAAGGCTGCGAATGAAACTAGGGCCAGGAAATTACTTTTTACATGCTTTAATTGCGTAAGAGAAATGTTAAGCCTGTCCATTTGCAGATGCCACTAGCTTGACACTCAATTGAGTATTTTAGTAGCTTTACCTTGACGAGTCACATATGATTGTTGCCATCTTGTTGAAATCAGCAGTTAGTATTTCTCTTTGGGTAATTTAAGCATAATCCACTATTGTTAAAGAAGGATGAAAGTGAGTTTATGTAGAAAAATGGACTGGAAATAGCTTAGCTGATATTAGATTATATCAACAGGAACAGAGGCACTCAGACCAGCAAATGGAATCTCCCTAGTTAGGAATAGAGGCTCTTCTTATTAAATTGCCAGAGATCGCTTTTACTTTCATAGGTATAGAGGCTCTCCTTATCAAATAGTGCCTTAGACCCTTACCCTTCAGTTTGGATCACATGATTCACATTCAACTCAATCAAACACACAAAATTAATCACGAATTATGTGGTTGAAGAGAACAATTATACAAGTCACCAATGAAAATCCAGCCTCATAATAGTAGGATAAGATTCCCCTTAAAATACGTTATGACTTGCAATACACTCAAACATTTCACATTCATCAACACACACAATTTTGAGAGGAATATTAAATTTTATTAAGCCACAACTTAATTCTTACATATCTAGTGGTCTTATTTATAATAAAAAAGACCCACATTATCAAAACCTAAAACTCTAACCTAAAATTAGTTGAAGTCCATATGTAAGTGATGTATTGAGTTCCAAACTATACATGAAAATATCGCATATATAGGGAACCCACAATAGTCCAACACACTAGTAGGCCGATTATGTTACAATATCAAGGTGTATCAAGGGAGAGATTATTTTGTGCGGACGCCGAATGCCGCTCTACACCCGGATACCAACCAGAGTGATCCACGTTAGTGATACCGAGCTGCCGTACCGAGCGGTACCGACCCGCGGGCTTAGGTATTTGAACGAGTTCCGCTTCCACACAGAAGAATCTTCCTTATCAAGGTGATTAAAATGTCAGAGAGCATATCCCATTCACATAGGCGTCATCATCATAGGCTTATCTACGGTGAAATGAACTTGGAAAAAAAAAATTTAAGAATACAAGAGCAATTAAAAGGAAAAAAGAACTAGACGCTCATCTCAATGCACGCAATTTGGTGTTTCCCATAAGTATGAATTGTTAGATTTGCATCAATATGAACTACATTCCCTTTTGCTTTTCAAGCTTATTAACAAACTGAGTGGTTTCTTTGAGAATAATTAGCCAACTTGGATCCCAGCATCCAAATATTTTTGTGTCCTTTTAAATTGCGACCGTATGCATTATCCATTTAACATTTAGACTAGACTGGTCAAACTGGCCTATGTTCATAATGGTAGTGGAAAATATCTATGGACATATGCTCTTATAGTTTAACTTTTGCTTGCTAAAAAAATTAAATGTTTATTAGTTTTCGTACTAACTGTGAAATTCTCTGTTTCACTACAGTTATGGTTCAATACTGCAGAATTTGCAGTCAAGGAATGACGTTATTGAAAAAATTAAAGGATGTGTGATTGATTCTGGACCTGCCCCTGAAATAAGCCCCAAGGTTTGGACTTTTTTTTTTTTTTTTGCACCTGCAGTTTTGCAAGGTTTACTGGTTGCTTATAAGAGAAGATCGAACATAATTTTATGAACTTGTAATCTTTCTATTTTTTGTTGTTTAATCATCATTTCCTTAGAATTCCCTGCAAAATAGTTAATATGAATAGAAGAGAGCTTCAAAGTTCTCTTGTTATAAATGCTGTTTGTATTTTCTACATAAAAAATTCAATTTTAATGTTCTTTTAGGAAAAATGGAGGCATTTACATTATAAGTTTGAGATTTTAATGTCATTTATTGTATTTACATGATTTCTGTGACATCATTGCAGGTCTGGGCTGCGGGCTTCTGTGCCGCCCTGATAAAGAAGCGCAGCTCTGCTATCGTCGCCTCCCTTGAACGTATCAATGGAGACAGTGCTGAAGTTAGTAGTGACAGATCTAGCAAGCGGGATTGGAAATCACGAGCTCTTGAAATCATTGTGATGTTCATCTTAGAGAAAATCTTCAGCATTATCCTGATTTTACCAGATATTAATCGGTAAGTATCACATTCATCCAATTTAGTATGTTTTATAGCCATTAGATTTACTCTGAGATAAGTCTAATATAAATTTTATAAAAATTAGTATAATCTTTTGATTGTACTGTTGATTTTGATGACCATCTTGATCTAAATTAGCAGAATTGTTTCCTAATTAACAGGAGGTTGGGCATGGTTATATCCATTCTATCAAAGAAACAGCCTCCCTGCCCTCAGCTGTACCTCTACAGCTCTTCTGATAAAGTGATTCCAGCTACTTCAGTTGAAACTTTCTTCCAAGAACAAAAGGCTATGGGAAGAAATGTTCAGTATTATAATTTTGGTACTTCTCCTCATGTTGACCATTTTAGAAGTTTTCCTCAGATATATACTGCAAAAATTTCTGAATTTTTAGAGGAGTGCTGTTATGAAATGATTTGCAGAGCTTAATCATCATCAAGATGTAGAATTTATGAAAATTTGTTGTGATTCACTCAGGCTATTATTGAGCTTTATGTTAAAGATGTTAGTTGGCTTATGTCGAGCTTGTTAACGAATATATCTAGCGAGTTATCGTGAGGACATAAACAAGCCGGTCTGTCTATCATTTTTGTCCGTTGAAAAATGAGTAGTTTGTCAAACTCAAAAATGATATTTTTAATGAACGAGCTTCTTAATGATAGTCGAAATAAACAACAAATTATCAAATGTGAAAAAGTTACAAGTACATCTAATTAATATATGTTTTTATATTCAATTAGTATTAAATTATAATAAATATAGAACATTCATATTACATTATTCATCATTTTTACAGTGAACTTAATCAAGCATTATATTAAAAAGTAGTCAAAGTTTCTTAACTGCTTATTCATGAGCTCTCTATTGAACATGTCGAACACAGGCATTTAAAGTGGATTGAACCATTTATTGCTACTTGAAATCTGATTTGTGTAAGTACCAAAAAATCTTCTAGAAAAAAAAAACTGAAAAAGTACCAAATAATCCACATGGCTTCTGTCATGCACTGAACCATGCCAGTAAGAAAGCTGTTTCGTCTTCTTTGTCGCAGCTTTTCATTCAAAAGGCTTAAATGATGGAGGTCTGCAATGTTGCTGTAGATATATCTTTCGTCTGTTAGGTTTTAGATAGTAATTAAATTTTTTTCTTTAAGGACATGTTTAATCACATGGAAATATAATTAATCAGTTAAGTATTATTAATTATTTATGATCTTATTAATCACTTAATTGTTCTATGAGTCATTAATTATTTACACTATTAATTATATAATTAATAATTTTTATATCAAATTATACTAAATAAGTTAATTATATTAAATTTTAATTACTAATTATACTATTAATTACATTATAATTTTGATTAATTTTAATTAAATTAGTTGAACTAAATTAATTAATTTTTATGAAAGTATGACTCTATCTGTAGGCTTCTCATTAGCTGTCTAGCCTGTCCTAGGACTTGCTTTTCCTCTTCTCCCGCTATTCATGTCACATGTGCTTGGCATGAGAGGTAGGTAAGGGTTTTGAAAGAGCCTATTTGCTTCCTTCAACGACGTTCCTTCCTATTAGATCGGAAGTCACGATACGTTGTCGTTCTTCTGTTGGATTGGAGGAAGCTCGCTCGTTGCAAAGGTAACCATTTTCTCTTTTCACACGCTTTTTCAGCCAAATCTCGTAATCCATTGAACTGCATAATTTAGTAGATATGGGATTTACAACAAGAAAGAGGGAAACAGAGGATTTATTCCTCCATATGAAATTTTCATAGGATTTAGCATAACTCCTGCTCAAATCCTGCATAAATCATATTGCCCAACAATCCTCTGGAATATGGTTGTGAGCTTAAACTCGATTAATTAGACTTTAGATTGGGTAAACGAGTAAATGAGTCAAGTCGAGTAATGACCTTATCAAGCTTGGCCCATTAGTCAGAAAGTCGATTCGAACTCGAGCTTGAGTCAAGCTCAAACTCGAGCTCAAGTCGTGCTCCTGTAAATGAGCTCGAGCCAGCTCTCGAGTCTTGATGAGATTTTTTTAATATTTTAAACATTTATTATTAAATTTAAACATTGAATATTTTTATATTATTAAATTTTTAATCATTTATTATTATTTTTTTAGTATTTAAATTTAATACAACAACAACATCAATCTTTTTCTTTTGTCCCACTATATTGGGTCGGTTGTATAAATCATTTTTCATCATTGTGTCCTGTTAAAAGTCAAATTCTCATTTATATCTAATAAAGAAATATCATTTCTAATATTTTCTAACCAAATTTTTTTAGTTCTACCTCTTTCTTTCCTAATATAAGTCAAATCCAATACCTCAACTTTCCTAAACGGGTCATCGGAAGGCCTCCGTTTAATGTGACCAAACCATATAGGGTGGCTCTCGCTAATATTATCTTCCACTAGGGCTACTCCAACCTTATCTCGTATATGCTCATTTCATGTCATATCTCTAAGGGTAAAACCCTTATCCACCTAAGTATCATTATCTCTGCAACACTTAACTTAATATTATGCTTCTCTTTTGAAGGCCAACATTCGACACCATAAAACATTGCAGGTGTCACCACCATCTTATAGAATTTTCCATTAAGTTTAAGGGGACTTTTCTATCGCACAATAAGCCCGATGCATTTCTCCACTTCAACCATCCAACTTAAATTCTGCTGATAATATCCTCATCTATTTTACCACCACTCTAAACAATAGATCCAATATATCTAAAAACGTGTACTCTTATTAATGACTTCATTGCCCAAAGTTACAATCCCCTCACTAGGTCTATTGCTATTAAAATTACACTCCATATATTCAGTTTTAGATCTACTCAAGCGAAAACTTTTCGGCTCTAAGGTTGACATCCATAATTCAAATTTACCTTCACTCCCTCTCTAGTCTTATCAAAAAGAAGAATATCATAAGCAAAAAGTATACACTAAGGTACATCCTCTTGCAAATGTCTAGTGAGAACATTCATGACTAAAGCAAAAAGGTATGGACTTAAGGTTGATCCTTGATGTAATCCAACCGAAATAGGAAAATACTTGATCAAACCAACTTGCATTTGAACATGTGCTAGCTCATGCATACATAATATTTAAATTTAATAAATAAAATAAATTTATTAAAAATATTAATAATTATTTGAGCGGACTCACAAACTCACAAGTTGAGCCTCATTAACTTAAAACTCATATACTAAACGAGCTCAAGCTGAATTGGATAAACTAGGCTTAGCTGAAAAAATTCTTCTTCGCCGGAGCAATTGTCGGATCGGATCCACTACTTCGCCACCTCGTTTTTTCTGATCCCGACCGAAGCTCGCTGTTAACCCTCTACCCCTTCTGCTCTTATCCTAAAACGAGGAAGTCACCCGACGGGAGTTCGTTCCCGCACCTTTCTCCCACGCTTCAAGTTCCCAAAATCCCATAAATCCGCGGAGCTACCGGATTTGGAAACTCCGGGATTTAAGGTAAAACTGAGATGAAACGGGATTTAAAGATTCCGTAGGATAAAAAATTGTCATTTTTGCTGTTTGGCAGGATTTAGGCTAAATCCTGTTCAAATTCTGCATCCAAACAGCCCGTCTTCTTCTTCTTCTTCGTCTGTGCTTGACTATGGAGTTCTCCAAGGATGAGACTTTCCAGGTCCCAAACCCTCCTGCACCAAATTCCTATGAAGCAGTGGTCATCGGAGGAACTTTCGATCGTCTACACCAAGGCCACCACCTCTTCCTCAAGGTCTATCATTGCTTCCGAAATGGCGCAAACCCCCCCCCCCCCCCCCCCCATTTTTTTTTTTTTTTTTTTTTTTTTTTTTTTTTTCCCCCCCCTTAATATGTTGTTTTCTTTTCCTTACATTTGTATGTTTTTCTTTTAGTTCAGGCGGCAGCAGAATTGGCAAGGGAACGCATTGTGGTGGGTGTTTGTGATGGGCCAATGCTGAGCAAAAAAGAGGTGTTTTTCTCCTTCTTTTCTTCTTATTGTTTCTTCTGAGTTCTTGTTTTGATCAAGGAAAAGCTTGGTACAACCAATATTTCTTCTTATGGTTAACTAAATATTGTTTGATCATTTGTTTTGTGGATTTAAGGGATAATGATGGTATTTATCTTGATTATAGGTTGGTAAAATTAGAATTGATTTTAGAGTGGTTTGAGTAAGAGAAGATTAATGATGATAAGATAGTTGAAGACATATCTACAACAACAACAAGCCTTTAACCCACTACGTGGTGTCAGCTTGATGAATCTTTTTTCTACCCTTTGTCTTATTAAGAGTCAGATTCTCATTTAAATATAATTAAAAAGGTTATTTCTAATACTTTATATTCAAGTCTTTTTTAGTCGGCCAATTTTAATATAGGAGGGTCATTAGAAAGCCAACGTTTTAGATAAATCTAAGCACATACCATTGAAAATTTTCTTATTTACAAAACCAAAACTTTGATTTTTAAAATGAGCTACTGAACCTCTATGCTGGTGTATGCCATGACCAAACCATTAAAGGGTTTAGTGAAAAGGAAAAATACAAATTTAATTTTTGTTGTTTTCTTCTTAATTGAAGGGATATTCATATTATAGTAAATAGATGCAATTTGGTGTTAGTTTTGTAAATATAAAATGGTTGAATATTATGTAACCTCAAAATTTTAATGATCAAAATTTTGGTGACAATGTCATAACTCCATGAATATTTTGGTGAATCTTAATGAAGGAATGCCTATGGAAACATAATATTACCCTCCTTGTTATAAATTTTATTAAAAAACATATAAATGTTAAAAAATCTAAATGGTTTTTTGATTTACCATATATTTTTTCTTTTGATTGTATTTCTTAAGGTTTTTTGAAATTGTACTTGATTGTAAAATCTTGGCACGTGAATTGTGCGGTTCTTAAGAGGGGAAAGTAGGGTTGGTACAAATTAATGCAGCCATAGCTTTTACCTGATATATATTTGATAGAATGATTTTAGCAAATTGAAGAAGTCAATTTTATTCTTTTTTCTATTTGGGCTTGGTTTCAACTTCTTGCCGATGGAGTAATTTTTTTCCTTTTCTAGTCATTGTAGATTTCTGAGATATAGTTTTGTTTTTGAAGGATATATTCAAGCTTTATGTTAATTGTATGATGAACATATTTATTTTGTTTCTGTGAACCATTGATTGACTTAGGTTGATTGGTTTTGTTACCATTTTGTATTTTGTGTTTGAGATTTATTTTCTTGCACTTAGTTTTGAAAAGGAGATTTGTTCGTTCACTTTCTTTCCTTTTATCTAATGCTTTAACATAGATTTGGGTTTGTTTGTTATGGTCCTTTTGTTGATTGGTGAAGAGCTAGGAATCACAAACACTTTCAAATACCTTCCATATCTGTGTAGGACACATTTCGAAGATGACGCTTACATTGTATGCCCTAACATGTGTCCAACACATTTACATTGTGTTAAGGTAGTCTCCATTACATCATTGAGGCCATGGGTTTGAGCCATGAAATTTGCTTTTATGCAATGCTGGCAGGGGTGAGTTTGCATGCATCAAATCTTTGCTAGAATCTGCATCGGCGGTAGTTTCATGCATCAAATACGCCCTTTTTGGAGACTAACTGTTTTTTTTAATAAGTAAAATGAAACTAACTTTTATACATCTTCTCACGACAAAATATAAAGTGGGTATTACTGAGTTTATGTGCTAAGCTGTTATAAATAAAATAAATTATGCATATGACTCGTTATAATTGAACTTACATCCTATGTCGAAATCAATATTTTTGGGGAGAAAGTGTTAAATTGTAAATGCATTAGATAAATGATACTTTTTTTAGGAAACATTTTGGTGTAAACCCTTGTTAATGAAGAGTAAATGAAGAAGTACAAAACAAGATCATAAGATGTGTTAAAAAATCAAAACATTTGAGCCAAAAGTTAGAAAGAAAGATACTAAACACTTCTATATCTATAATAAGCTACCCTGGGTTATTCCAGAGCCTCCGAGTTTGTCTCCCTTTTTTTTATGTTAAATGAAGAAGTATAAGACGGGATTACAAGATGTGACAGATAATCAGAACATTTGAGACAAAGTTAGAAAGAAAGATGCTAAACGTTTCTAGTAATAAGATGCCTTAGGTTATTCCAGAACTTCGAGTTTCTCTCTTTTTTTTTTTGTTTAAAAGAAGTAAAAGACGAGATTACAAGATGTGACAAAAAATCAGAACATTTGAGATAAAAGTTAGAAAGAAATATACTAAAACTTCTAGTAATAAGATGCCTTAAGGTTATTCCAGAGCCTCAGATTTCTTTATTTTTTTTTTAATGTTAGTCTCCATCATTGTCTTCTTACAAAAGTATATCCAGAAGTAGGCAAGGTACTATTTTAAATGATCTTCTAAAGCTAAATGTGATTAAGGTGAAAAGATTATAGCTATATCATATTAAAATTGTACATCATGGCATGAAAAGTTCTTGCTTAGAATGGCAAATCTCAGATCTTTGACTCAAAAAGACTAATGCATAAATCTAGGTTTAATCCACACAAAATTGCTTTTTTTTATTATTTCTCAACTCTCAGAAGTAGGCCATTAATTAGTATTTCCATTGGCTTCTAAATAGGAGGCCAAGGGTTTAAGGGTGTTTGGGGATGTGATTATTTGTAAAATTATCGGATAAATTATTGCGGAAAAATAGAGTTTTTGAAGCTATTTAGACTATTTTCTCCAAATAAAGTCTAGCAAGAACTTTTATATAGCTAGCACATTCTAGCAAATCTTGTTTTAAAAAGTTCCTTTCTCATAGAAAAACATCTTGAAAATTATAGTCAAATAGAAATATGATCATGCCATCTAAATGAAGTTATGAAAAAGTTTTCTTAAATCCATCCTAAATCTTTCCTGCAAGACAACAATTCTCTCCAAGTTTAGTTGAACAGAACAACCTAACTCGTCCTTTGATTTTATGCAAGCTGACCTAGAGTTTACATTGTTAACTGAATCGACCCAACTTGGGAATTGGTTCCATATTTATTTCCACTGCCTTATTGGAATTCAAACTCGTTCTAATCATGACGTTTAAATTGAGTCACTAAATGTAGCCCATTATGAATTTTCCCCGTTTAACTTTTTGTGAAAAAGTTCTAATTGATTCCACGATCAATATACCGTGAGTCAGAGCTATACAAATTCTCTATTGGTGCTTCCGTTGAAAAAAAAAAAAATTAAATATTTATTTTTCTTGTCCATTTCTCTGCATTATCAGAATCTTCATCTCCATTAATATCCCTAACTCCGACTTTTATCGTCTGTTCACGTACTTTTACTTTTGCTTCTATTCAGTATGCTAATCTAATACAGCCAATTGAGAAGAGGATGCAGTGTGTTAAAGACTACATCAAGGTACTGAAATTTAACAGCTCTTTATGCTCTTCTGAAGCACAGAAAGCTAGGCTTATAGTTTCTTGCTTTTAATCTGAAAGCAATTATGAGTAAGATTCCATTGTAGCAAACCTTAATTGGTCAATTCATTAATATTTTCCTTTTTTTCTTTCATTTAGACTCATAATTAACTAAAATATCACTATAATTTAATGTGGATTCATTTGAAATTTAATTTCAAGCTGAATGCCATTGTTTCAGTCAGTCAAGCCCGAGTTGACAGTAGGGGTTGAGCCAATTACGGACCCCTATGGACCATCCATTGTAGATGAACTGTTGGAAGCCATTGTTGTGAGGTTAATCACCCTACTAGATTCCATTACTGTTGTTTCATGGTTGGAGTTTATTCCTATAACACATTTCGCATCATTACAAACTGAACAGCAAGGAGACATTTCCTGGGGGTTTGGCAGTAAATAGGAAAAGAGCAGAGAGAGGCTTATCACAGCTGAAGGTTTCACGGTTTTACCCATTGTTTCCTCTTTCCCACTCCATTTTTAGAAAAGGCTTATACAATAGTGATCGGTTATGTGCCTTTATTTTCTAGATTGAAGTAGTAGATTTACTTCCAGATTCAACATCAGGGCACAAAATCAGTTCCACTGCATTCAGAAGACTTGAAGCTGAGAATGCAATTCAGCAGCAGCAGGACCAACAACAACCAGAAGAACAACAGAAGATAATTAATGTAGAAGATTATATATTATAAGATTATAGTTCTTGTCAAATGCTTGATGTCACATACATTGCAAGCCTTTTATTTGACTACTGATTACAAAGAAAGCTGAATTTCGTGCTTTCATTTCAATCAAACTGCTTTGAATTTTCTACTAGTAATATTCCCGTCTAAAACATGCATTTTTGTTTAATGACTTGATCATCCAATATCACACTCTCACCACTAGATCCATTAACACTAAAATTACACTTCATGTATTCAATTTTAGATCTATTTAAACAAAAATGATTAAACTCTTAGATTGATCTCCATAATTTAAGTTCTCATCAATTCCCATCAACAAGAAGAATATATCAACTGAAAACATACACCAAGGTACTTTCTCTTTCGCATGTCTAGTAAAAACATCCTTGACTAAAGCAGAAAGTTATGAACTTAAATTGATCATTGATATAATCCAACTAAAATGGGAAAATACTTGGTCAAATTACCTCGTGTTTTGAGCATAAGTAATAGCTCATGCATGCATATCTTTAATGACTTGGAGATAAACATTATTAACTCCTTTTTATTCAAGAACTCTTTGTAGCACTTCTTTTGAAATTTTATCATATCTTTATCTAAATAAGTAAGTATCATATGTAGATCCTCCTTACTGTCTTTATACTTTCTTCCTTATCAAATGTATAACTTCCACAGTAGACCTACTCAGCATGAATCAAAATTGATTTTGAGTAATATTAGTCTCATGTCGTAACCTATGCTTAGCTACTCTCTTTTATAGATTTAATGCATGACATTAACTTAATTCCACTAATTCACGGCCACCATGAATGCTATTAAAATTTTATTATCACTCTATCAATATATCTTTTTAAATCTCCAGCAATAATTTTTTTTTCAAGAGATATTTTTTGAATTAATTATTCTAAGTCATTCCTTTTTTTTTTAAACATATATTCAAATATATTTAAGGAGCATAAATACTTACAACATTAATAATCTTAGCATCAACAATAATCTTTAAAACTATAATCTTAACATATTGCATGAAGTAAACAAAATAAATTTGCTAGCATCAGAAGGCATTAATCATGGTTGATTGAAACTAAAGGGAAGTTTTGAACATACAAATCAGGTAAATAGGTACATCACTTGTCAAAGTAGTGTTCAGCTAACCCCTAATAGAAAATAGCTTTACCAATTTATTTCAATTTTAAATTCAAATAAATTCTATAAAAATTTCTCATCTTATTTTAAATAAAGATAATCTTAAAAACTAAATACATAAAAACTGAAATAAAATTGTAAAATAATCTGAAAGTTCTAAAAAAAATCTAAAATATTTTTAATACATGACTGATATTATATCATTGAATATCTTCTTCAGTCATTCCCAAAAATCACTACTTAACTAAGTAATTTGTTTCTCTGAAATTTGTCTGCCAGAAACAAAAGGAAGAGGAAATCTTTAAAAGCAAGTGACCAGTTTTATGTATCATGAAATAAATGGATGACTGTAGAAGAAAGAAACAATTTATAGGATATGCACATCAAATGTCTCTTTTACCATGAAACGGATAAAGATTGAGGTGGCCCCTTTGAACTCTCACAGCTCTCTGCCAACTCCTTCTGGAATTTGTCTGCAGAGCAAAAATCTATAACATCACAACAATTCTACAAGAACTTGATTGAAGAGTTTTCCTTACAGATAATTGAATACATAGACTAAGGAATAAATCTAGTTCTATCTTTAAACTCCACATCAAATCTACATCTTCATGTTAGGTTTCATATCGCTTTCCAACATTTAATATAAAACACTAAGTGCCTGATAAGGACTCATACCTGTTCAGATTTGCGAGGGTACAATAGAATTAATAATTACAAGTCATAATTTCATTCTTTACTATGACAATAAATATAAATTTTCTGTGTTCAACATTTTGCCATAAAAAGTTGTAATCCAAAAAAAATTTTAAAAGAACAAACTTTGAAATAAATTTACTATTTGGAATCATCATCACCTTCATGAACATGCTTTATTGCAAGCTATCTTCTTCTCACCTACTTTTGTTCTGTTCAGAGTGCTGATCTCATGGAGCCAACTTAGGAAGGACGCACTGTCATGAAAACTACTCCAACAACTCTTTATGTTAATTTGATAATGGTGACCATCTGATCAAGACATATCTGGCGTAGACTGCTAAATTGATTATTATCAGTTGATGAATTAGGGAGTATTTTAATTTTAATTATGTTTTTGAGTTTATGTTTGATTTCAGTACCTTAACACTGCATTGTCAGAATACATCTACTGCAGCATAGGAAGCTAAGTATATCATTTCTGTTTTTTGATCTGAAAACGGTTCCCCAAACTATTTCAGATCTGTAATCTGTCTTTCTTTTTCGTTAAGCTTGTAATTACCTAAATTTTCAGTTTTTATTTTTGAATTTAATCTTCAAGTTTGGAGTGCATAATTTCAAAGTATCAAAATTCTCTAGTTTAGTTTAGTTCATCAACTATATAAAATTAATACCAATTTAATTCATTATTGACTAAATTGAGAGCAATTTCATATAATTGAGGAAAATAATCATGATCAATTTTGTATCCTGATTTTCATCAATTTTCTTCCGGGGTTTCATTTGAGATTAATTTTCTATATTTAAGGGATTAAGGCTTCATTTGGGACAACTTTCACGTTGCTTCTTAAAACAATTTTTTAGTATAAAAATTTTATTTATTTTACTAAAAAGCATTTTTAAGAAGCAGTAATAAAATCTCCCAAACGTAGCCTAAATTAAAAAAAAAAAAAAGATCTGATATCCTGAAACTAAACTGATCACATAATCAGATGAATAGTCTGACCTTTTTCTTTTTATTCGTAGGAAATCATATTGCTTTCTTACGATCTGAACTGTTGGGAGACATTCATAGAAGTAAACAGGAGAAGACAGAGAATAGCTCATTTCAACTGAAGATTTTGTCAATCTGTGCTGTGTCACCCCATTTCACCAAAAAATGCTTAGAAAATCCTGTTAACTTCTTTGTTTTTATCTTACACATTAAAGTTGTAGATTTGCTGCCAAATTTATCATCAAGACACAAAATTAGTTCCACTGAATTCAGAAAACTTGAAGTTCTGCAACAACAACTACATCAACAAGACTGAAAAAAACAAAAACAACAGAAGAAAATCACTACACAAAACCATATATAGTTCCAGAAGACATTAACAAGGAACACACGTAAGATTAAAGTTCATGTCAAATACTCAGTGCCACAAACGTAATACAGATTATATTTGGCTACCAGTTTTCATACTCGGTCTTTATCTTAACTAATTTCCTTGCAAGTTCTTTCTTCAGTAAGTCATCATTTCTGGATTATTCACAGTTTTTGATCTGGCAAGATCTGCAACATGATACTGTGCAGCATATTTGTAAGAAGGACCTTCCATGGCTGTCACAGGAGGTTCATTCAGAAAAGCCCAGTTGCTCCTTGTCCACCTGCAAGTTCGATGCCGGTTAGCTCCTATCAGATGCAAAAAAACATGAAATTTCTGAACAAAATTTGTTGTAGATGAATGTGCTATGAGAAGATAAGAAGTTTCATAGGATTATTTGCTAAAAAAATTACTGCAAATGTCATATTTTCTAGTCACTGGACAATTACAGGTTGTGAATTCTCTCTTATGAAGGAGAAATAATCTGAGAGAAAGAAATCTTAGAAACGACAAAGAAGATGATAGAGCCTAAACAGAGTTAGTTGACCGACTAAATTTAACACCTTAAAAAATTAGATGAGCTAAAAATTATTTTGATCATTTACTATCTAAGAAAGAGGAGACATCAAGAACAAAAATGAAAGTAGAAAATATAAATTCTTTCATATCCCTGCACATTAATCTTTGGTAAATTGTGAGATCAAGAATCATACCAGCAGTTACTTTTCTTAAGCTCATCAGTAAATATATTTGCATCACCATAATTCCTTTTTCTATCAGCAAAGGGGAAGGAGATTGATCTCTGAAATCTATCGGCTGATCCTCCATTTATGTTCTGCAACAGAAGAAGAAAAAAAAAGTTTTTCTTGTACTTCCGGTTTCATAAAACATTTAATGCATTTATATAACCTCAAATCGAGTAAAATCTCACCTGATTCTCATTCTGAACATCAGCAATAGCACTAAGGTGATCTTCTTCTGCTCTCTTCTTTGATTTCCAGTAGGATTCAATCTCTTCTTTAGTCAGTGATTTGTTTCTCTGCAGTTTTTCTGTCAGAAACAGAAAGGAAGAAGAAATCAATCACATAGGGAAAGTGAGTACTTATAACATGCATGAAATCAAAATTGTATATTTTTATGACTGCACCTGATGTAATATCCTTCCTTGGAGAGGACCATCCTGCCATTAGAGAACCCATGGTGAGCTCTTTCTTTCCTTCCACAGTGAGCTGGTTTTCACCGGAGTTTGCTGGAATTCTATAGTACTTATCTTCAGCAGTGAAGTTTATCTTTCTATGTAAATATATAATAAATATTGTTTACATTTGTCTGCTGCAGTGTATATTAAATCATTAAAAACCAAAGATTAGATGCCAAAGAGAGAACCAAGGTAGGAGAGAAGGTTCTCATCAAGCCCATGGATTTCTTAATCCCACATAGTAGTCTTTATTTGATGCCTCTGAAGAATCTTCTACACTCTCTTGATGTCGTTATCTCTCACAACAGATGCTCTGAATTGCCTTGCAACTTTAGCTATTATAAATTAGTGGAGCAACTGTTCACAGCCATACCGGAGAAATATAGTGAAAAGAGGTAAGCCCATAGATTTGTTCTTCCTACCTTAATTCCACACGTCCTTATTAGACGCCTTGAAGAATCTTCTACACTATTGATGTCGTCATCTCACACACAGTTGGTGCTATATATATATTACAGAATCAATAATAATTCATACGATCAAGGAACAAATTAATATATAATTGATGATAATAAAAATATGGTGGACAATCAACCTACTGTAATAGAACCCAATTACATATTAGGATATAACTATATAAATTACTTGAAAATAATTTTATTTAAGATAATTGGCTTTGATGATGTCACTGAAAAATGAAAATTGTCTTGATCGGGCATGAATCTTGAGCATTACAAATTTGTCATTGATCTTATTCATATTTATAGGATTTGTCACTCATACAAATTTATAAATTGATCCACTCTCTAGATGAAGGGAGGCTCTCATGTTCCAAGGATCTAAAGATCCATCCAAACACCATCGTAGGAAAACTTCCGTCGGCCGATAAAACTGCCTAGTAGCAACAGCTTGGAGAAGATCGAGACTTCTGTCTTCTGATGACAGTCAATACAAGCTCCCGAGTACCTAGAAAAAGTTCAACCAACTTCTTCAACTATTGTAATTTCACATTCTCCAAGTTAAGAGACGAGTCAAGATTTATAATTCACTCAAATTTAATAGAATCTTCTAATTTGTGGTTTTTCACATTATGGGGCTTCCACATAATTTTTTTTTCTGATGTTTCTCCACTCTCTCTCCCTAATTATCTGTTTGTGTACTAAATATTTATGCATCGATGAAAAATTGTCTCAGTCTACCGCCGCCAATATATTAGCCCTCAATAGGCTTATTTAATAAACTCTTAGACTAATCTCTGAATAATAAAAAAATGATCAAATTCTTTCGCTCTTTGATCGTAGATAGAATGATCGGTTTGGGATGACTGTAATTTTTTGTAAAAAAAAAATTAAAATTGTTACGAGGAAATTAACTTTTTAAAATATTATTGAAAAAGCGGCTTCCTTGCAAAAAAAAATATTGAAAGTATCATGAAAGAAAACATTGACAATTAAAAATTATATTTATCATCCCAAAAGCAAAATAATAAAAAAAAATTCTTAAACAGTCATTAAATCTATCTTATGGTTGATCCATAATCAAAATTGTACGCCAAACCTGCTAAAGTTTTGGTTTAGGTGATTATTTCCTTACATATAGGATTAAAAATGAGCCAATATTTCTAAATTCTCAATTTAGTTTTAAAACTTAAAGTTGAGATTCGTATTTTAAAATATTAAAAAAAAAAAAACCATTTTTAGCCTCAAAGTTTTCAAAATAAAAGAATAGATCAAAGGATGTCCCCATCAAACATCTGTCAGACAATGAAATGGATAAGGATCCGTAGAGGTCTACTCTGACAACGTACCTTTGTAAGGAGTCAAACTGGGTGGCGAAGAACCAGCTGGATAAAATTCAGTTCTTTGATTCGAATTCCTTCACAAGTCGTGAAAGTCTTAAGTATTGGCCTATATAAATTGGTGTGGGTTGCATGTTAGATCGATCGGAATATTCACTGGCCTAAAAACAGTCTTTTCTCGTCACAAAAAGAAAAATAAATAAATAAAAGAGTCAAACTTCTTCGACCAATCAGATATTTTCTTTCTATTTCCTTTATTAACTATTTATAATATAATATTACAATAATTGTATTGCCAACCTAGTAGGGTCTGCATATGATAGTTTAAATTGCTTAGAGATTTCCCCAGAAAAAAAATAATATTGCTTAGAGAAACAGAGTTGGTGCTCCTTTAACACTAGAGTGAATATTAACTGTGGAGTCTGAATTTAGAAAATTATTTGATTGTGAACAGTAAAAATATAATTATTATTTGTCACTTAATTTTTACTGTTCATAGTCACAAAATTGAAACAATCCTTTGGATCCAAACTCCGCGCATAATAGTCACTCTTAGCACAGATTAATCTTGTTCCTTTAATTCGATATATATATCTACTCCAACATTTTGTATGTATACAATCATTTCATATTTTATCTCTAAGTATGAGGATCCTCATTTGTTTTCTAATTTAATGGCCAACATTTTGTACCATAAATATTGTAGGTCTCACCACCAATAAATCATACATTCAATAAAAATATTATTAAATGTATGATTTAAGTTCTTTATACGTTAAAAATATAATTAAAATCTTATTCTTATAATTGGTATCTAATATACATAATATTATTAAATATTAAAAGAAATTCAACTTATTCGAGCTTAAATTGCACAAAGTTCGACCTCCATAGGTTCAATTAATTTTAATTCGTCTAAAATATGGAAGGAACATTTTTATATTATTAATACATTATATTTTAATCGGGCTTATAGAAGTCTACGTATGGCCCATTAATGCCCGTTACAATTGGGCTAAACTTAAAAGTTAGTAAAACAAAGTAAAGTGGGTTTTAATAAGCCCATTTTTTATTTGTTTTTTTGTTTTTAAGTTTTAATAAGCCCATTGAGTTCCCTTAAATTAGCTGCTAACTAAGTACATAAAAGTCTTGCTTATGTGTTTTTAATAGCGTTGTTAGTTTGTTCAATTTATTTTTCTGTCAGATCATTTTTGTTATTATTTTATATTGTTGTCTATAATATTTCTCAATATTATTGATATATCATCAAAAAATTATCTTAATCGGGCACAAATCTTGAGGCAAAATCAAGTTAGAAACTTTAAAAAATTAAAACTAGGATCATCTGGACTCTGATTTCAGCAAACCTACAGTCGAACTGGACGTCTCAAGAATACGAACCCAACAACACCAAATTTGACTTAGATTTCATTTGAGACGACTTTCTTAATGTTTCTTAAAGCAGCTTTATAGTATAAAATTTTTAAATTTTAAACTTAAAAACTATTTTATGAAGCAATAAAAAGTTATCCCAAACAAAGCCTTAATCCGAGCCCAAATGAGTCCAAATAAAAAACCCGATTTACATTTGAAAGATTCAAACCATAATTTGGATTACCAAACGTGGCATGCTTATACTCGAATGAAGTGGCTCGACGAGACAATTCCAACGAGCCCAAGATCATCAATTTTTGTTATCATTAAGACATTCAAATGGTCCGTAAACGATCCACGATCATGTCCAACCGCATTAATTAGGTCAAACCTTTTTGTGGTGTTGTTAATATGGTCATCGATGAGGATTAAATAATTGATATTTTTTAATCAATTTGTATATTCATATGTATTAATTATGTGATGTGTTATTAAATTCAAAGTTTCATATGTTTTAACATTTGTAAATTTTGATGATAAATATAATATCTAAATTTAGGATAAGACTAAATTATTTTCTTAACCTTTGATAATGACAAATGGTTGGAATATTTTGCAAGAAGAAAATTTTATTGTCTTGTCATTATGACTCATATATTTTTCACACAAAAAAAACTATTTTCTCATTAATCAAAGAAAAAAAAATTAAATAAAATTTCAAAATCTAAATATGATATAAATAAATATAAAAATTTTAATATGTGAAAATTTTGTGGTATATATATAAATCTCCTAAATTTTTATTAACCTAATAACTTGCAATGCTTTAGTAAGCCAGCTCAGGAGGTTCTCATGCAAATTTACAAAACCAAAGGACCAAATCGAAAAACTACCTTTCCATCTATTTATTATAGTGCTGGAACTTACCCGACATCGAACGCTACATTTACCTTTCCCCGCTTTCCCCTTCCAATTCATATTTCCAAAGAGAAATCCCAACCGATCCAAATGGAGACGGTGGAGGAGCAGGTGGAAGAGTATAGCTGGAGGGAGGTGCTGCTTCCACATCTGATTCCAGTGGCCCAATCGCCGGAGCTGGAGCGGGAGCCTGCCGGAGAACGGAGGCGAGGCCGCGACATACTGATCGCCATTGATCATGGCCATAATAGCAGACACGCTTTCAATTGGGTGCTCGCTCATCTTTGTCGCCTCGCTGATACGATCCATCTCGTTCACGCCGTTTCCAGTAAGTCATTTTTGTTAATTGGATTAGGGTTTCTGTTTTCTTTCTAATTGCATATAGGTTACATTTGATATTTAGGGCATGTTTGAATGCATGAAATTTGAGTGAAAGTAAATGAAAATAAGGTTAAAAACTTCAACAAATTGATAAACAACCAAGCAATAGTTCATTATTTTCCTTTCTTTCCTGACAATTCAAAGAAATCCCGAAGAATTGTAGCTGGTGAATCTATGATATATTTTCTATGAGTATTGATAATGAGATTGCTATTCTGATAATCTATTTTTTGTGAGAGTATGTTAGTTGTTTTAAATATTTGAATGCAGATGTGCAGAATGAAGTGGTGTATGAGAAGAGCAGGGAGCTGATGGAGCGGCTGGCGGTGGAGGCCCTACAAACTGTCCTGGTGAGGACAGTTGCTCGAATAGTTGAAGGCGATCCAGGGAAGGTCATCTGCAGGGAGGCCGATCGTCTCAAACCCGCCGCTGTCGTTCTCGGAACTCGTGGAAGGGGCATCATTAAAAGGTAATCTAAGCACTCTACCTCCAACTGTTCTTCTCTACATCTTATTATTTTTCTTCCGGTTTCTGCCAAATTTATACGGCTACTGCTGCTTTGCTTTGCTATGCATTACAGTGTCTTAAAGGGCAGCGTCAGTGAATACTGCTTCCACAACTGCAAGTCGGCACCGGTTGTCATCGTCCCAGGAAAAGGTATAGAAATTATCCTCTCTTCTCATTCTCTCATGCACGTCAACCATTACACTAATCACCCTCATTTCGCAACAGCAGATGTCGGTGAGGCTTCGGTGATCTAAGATGGAAGGATGGTTTCGGATGCGATGATCTATATTTGTAAACAAAATGTTTTCCGTTTTGCTCAAAAACATTTCCAATGCATTTTCATTTTCTTGTATTCAAACTCTTTACATTTTCAGCTGAACTATGATTTCATTAAAGTAGACGAGTTTTAAAAATTTTTATGTGGACGTATATACTTATATATATAAATAAAATGGTATATATTAGAAATTATCTAAAATTGACCCAAATAAATGTGTGATCTATTTAAGAATTAAGTTATTATTTGACTTATGTGACATCTCAATTAAATGTCTGTAATTAATTTGTATAGATGCCGAATATTTATTTTATTTTAATGATGAACTCAAATAAAATATATACACTTAAAATATAAAAGGGGCGTGATCTTTAGTTTAAGTGGTGAAGTCTCATTTCCATCTTGAGTGAAAAAGTGGTCTCTCGCTCTCTTGGAGAATGCCGCTTCAAACGTGAAAGATCGAAGACCTTAATTCCGCATTTTAATGGATTCAGGTACGCTTCAAGTAATTCTACTCGAAGATTTTTTATTTTTTTTGTCCTTTAAATCCTAACTTCTTGATAGTTCATAATCTGAATAAATAAACAAGAGCTCTACGCTACCATCCATCCTTAGGTATTTTCTTCTTTGCTGATTCATGGCGAGGGATCGACTGAGCAGCCATGAGACCCACCTTGACAGATTCCGAAAGAGTAAAACCTCGCTCCTGCATCACATCGTAGAGCCTCATCGCATCATTCAATAACCTACCAGCCACGAGCCCACTCACAACCCGCTCAAATTGATCCCCCTTCATCACATTCTTTCTTCCTTCCAAAATCTTCAATGATTGCCGAGCTTTCTGCTCGTTCCCCGCTCTTGAATACATTTCACATAAACTCACATGAACCTCCAAAGAAACTTCTTCACCACCCTCCTTCATCTTCTTAACTAACAACTCAGCCTCTTCCACAAGCTTCAATTTGCCAAACCAACCAACCAACACCGCAATTGTTGCACTGCCCGGCTCGAACCCTTCCTTCTCGAGTTTTAGTAGCAAGTCCACCGCCTTATCCAACAGATTCTTTCTCCCATACGCTGAAACCATACTCGCCGCACACTGATCATCCGGCTTTATACCTGACCTCATCATGTCATCGAAGTGTCCTCGAGCTTGATCGGGATCGCCGGCTTGCGAATAAGCTTCAATGAGCAGCTTATACGACTCCAGGTCGGGTTCGATTCCGGCAAATTGCATGGTGCAGACAATTCTCCTGGCACCATCGACCTGACCGCCCCCAGCGAAAGCTCTGAGCACTTGTAAATAAATTTCTCTTGGGGGTTTCAGGCCTTTTTCCTCCATCTCTCTGATCAGAGTTTCTCCTTGTTTCGGCATGCCAGCATTCACATACGCTGTAATTACAGACCTGTAAACTCTCAAGTCTGGTTGGAAGTTTTCTTGCCTTAGTTTTTCGAATGCTTCCTTGGTTTTATTGAGATCACCAGCTGTGCTGTACATGTGGACCAAGACAATTGATGTGAGTACATCAGGCTGGATGCCTTTCTCCAGCATCTTGTTAAGTGTTCGCTCGGCGTGTTGAATGCGACCGGCCTTGGAATGGGCATCGATTAGCTTCGAGTAGTCGCGGGTGGTTGGATTGAAGGTTTGTTCGTCAAGGAGAAGCTCAGCGGCCTGTGTTGATCATATTTGAGTATAGAAATAGCAGATATAAGCTACAATCTTTAAACATCATTGAAAATCTGATTGTGGCCTATTTCAGAATAATGGCTAAAATGCTTAAAGACAAAATGCATAACCATATTCTGATTGGCAAAAATAACTACGCGGCGTATCTTAAGGTTTTCCTGCATAGATGAACTAAAAGTGTGTTTGGGACAACCTTATTTAACAGACTGCAATGAGATTTTTTAAGGGCGTAATAGAAAAGAAAAGAAAAAAAAAAAAAACTACTTTAGCTTTAAAACTTCTACTTTTCCAAAACAATTCCATAAAACCATTTTAAGTTGGAGATTGATAGTTAATAAAAAAAAAAAAAGCTTATCTATTTTAAGGAAAACTGCCTACGTTTAGAATTTAGGGTTTAGCTTTAAATGATGCATGACAAAATTACAGTTTTAAATATGTGATATATCTTTGCTTCAGTCTTTTGAGGAGGCTAACCAAGTTTTTAAAATACTAAAGCCTTACATAAAAATTTATGCATCCATGCACACTGCATGAAAGTATATGCAGATATCTTTGCATATACTAAAATCATTTTTATTTTTCCTCTCTTCTAATCAAATTTTAAAATAAGGCTTGTCCTTCAATCAAAGCATATCCTTTGGATGCCAAGGAAAAGGCACATAGAAAGTTCTATATTTTGATTATCTAGCCAGAAACTAAACTCAAGAATTCACATATAAAATAAGCAAAAAAATCAAAACCACATGTATCGCACCAAATTCTTCCAAAAAAGCAACATGTAGCAAGTCAGTTTCAAATTGGACCCGAATCTAAGCCGAAAATCCATTTGGACACCCTCTACTTCAAGGCCCACATTTAATTAGCACATACCAATTGATAAATTAAAAATTGTGCATATAAATAATCAATTTCTTTACTCCAATCACCTCCAATTGTTATTTTTTCTAGTGTCAACACCACTTCATCTAAATGACATCATAGCTTAGGTTATCAATCAATTTCAATTTTCAAACTTAGTATCCCAATTCAATCAAAATTTACCATCCTTATTGTTGTTAACTCTCCATTGCATTGCATGTCAATGCACTAAAAGTTCTGAAGTTCCATTTTCTAAATTTACTATTTTATCACCTAAGTCTCTAGAAATATTATACTCAAACATACTTGTCAATGGTGAATAATGCACTATGATGCAAAGGTCCCCTATGGAGACATAGTGTGTGACATTTTTTTTTTGAATGTAACTAATGCCAAATAAGATAAAATGAACTTGGGAAAGATCTTATAAATATTTTTAGCATCAATCAATGATAGATAGAATAATATTCTAATAAAGCTATCTTATTTAAAGTCAAACAGTTGAAAAGATAAAACTAAAAAAAAATTTAGATAGGAAACATATGAAAATAAATATATATATAAGATACTAATAACTGACAAAGCCGAGAGTTGTGGGCTTGCAAAATGGAAGAGATAGATGAGCAAGATGAAGCAAGAGCTTGCGATGCGTGCACTGTAAATGCCTTGAAGCCTTACAATCAAATGAAGCAGAGAGGAAGCCGAGGGAGAGCTTGCGAGACATAAGGCTCGCAGAACCAAGGGCTTGGGGGATTGAGAATTAAAATTGAAGGTTTAATAGAAACTAAAAAAATAAACTACAAATAATATAAATATTAATTTGCAACCCTAAATCCTCTAAATTAAAATAGCACACTTTATGGGGGATATACGCCATGCATATTACCAGTGCGTAGTACAAATAACGTGCACTATTTTAATGACTTATGTCGTATCATCAAAATGGCGCAAGGGGTGCACTACACCACACTTAGCACTATAGCACACGTTGTTTTGTATTATTGACGTATGTTCTTAGATGTGTTGATTTCATCCATACAAACCTATGATTGTTTTAAATATTGCCTTTTTTGTCAATTGCTACATCAAACATATGGTATCATTTACTCAAGAAAAATTAGCTTTAAAGACTTAGTTTAAAAGCATTTTTTACTGCAAAATCATTGCATTATACAATTCAATGGCAGCAAGTATCAAACTCTTGACAAATTCCTATCCACAAAATGGCACCTCTCATCCAACTTGCCCACCATACACTCCCAAGAATAATAGATGCTTTGGATAGTGCCATCAACATATTTTTCAAAATGGATCTCTCTCACGAATCTCAAAAGTTTATTCCACGTTACCATTGGACATGCCTTCACCATGGCAGTCTAGTTCATAAATTATCCAACCACCCCTGCACTTCACTTCTACAAGTTCCCACATTATATATCATGGTAGAATCCCAATATTTTAGAGCGTAAAAAATAATGTAACATAGCCCACTCCGCCCCTGGAGTAATAATTAGGTGCGGACACCGCACCCAGAGGTGCGTCCGGATTATTGGATGCACTATGTATGTTATGTGTACGCTCTGCTTATACTCTGAGTATAACTCTGCATATGTTCTGCTTACACTTTGCGTATTTATGGATACACAGCAAATAAGCAGCAAATCCTCACAATTAAATATTTGCTGCTTATTTACTGCAATATGCAATGTATACTCAATAAATACGCATAACGTAGGCAGAGCTTAAGCATATAATACGCAGTATTCGAACGCATCTCTAGATGCGGTGTCCGCACCTAATAATTACTCCTATCCCGACCCTGAGGTTAAATATCACTCTATTGCCACCACATCCACTAAGCATTGTTGGGTCTACTCCCTATTCATTGAAATGATATCCATCTTCCTCATTCCTAATAATATATTATAATGCTGTGGGTGTCACTCATCCCTATGTAAATATAGTATTTCATTCACGAATGAAACATGTAGCTTCAAAAGCAAATCCAAAATGACACCCTCCAGGACATATCTCCTGAGGATCAACTGACAAATGATCTCACCATATCACTTACGTGTACTTGTTTCTCTACATTAAATATCAAAATTGTACTCTGAGACTATAGCTCCGCCTTGAGGGGACACGAAAAAGGAATATATACATAATTACTAAGTTAGTTTCCTACTTTTGTTTCATATGTATTTATTCAATTTTCTACTGGACTTTCTCGCATATTTGACATTGGAAAACCTCCTTTTTAGTTCCAACTTCGAACACTTCTATGTATATTCACAATATCTAAATAAATGGATCAAGCCATCATTCAAACCTTCAACACTAATCAAAATAAGCCTAGTTGTTAAAATTGTAGGAATTTTAGTTCTACAACAGTGATTCTAGAATCACTTAAAAATCAGTATATATAGATTCTATAGATGAACAGAAACCAAAAAACATTGAAACTTTCCTATAGAGGCTTCTTAATCTTCAAGACATGCTCATAAAGAGAAAAAGACAACACAATTGCTCCTGAAGTCATACAACAAATCAAATGAAGAAGGTTTAAATATCATACCTTGAAGTACAAGTCCTCATTATGCTCCTTGATCCTATCGAGCAATGCAAGCCAATCAACCCTCTTAGCGGAGAGAGCTTCCTCAAATTCCTTAAACACGGGCTTCAAATCATCCTTCACTGGATCCAAATCCATAATCCTGTCCTCCACCCTCTTACTCCTTCCCACAACCGGCCGGGCCTCCTCAGGCACAACGTGCTTCTCAGCTTCCTCCAACCTCTCTGAAACCTCAGCCCATTTTGGATCCGACATATCCAGCCCATATATCTTATACCTAATCTTACCTTTCCTCTGCGGCAGAGCTGTAATCTTCGGCTTCTCAGATACCTCAATCAATCCCTTCTCCATATCTTCTTCCTTTTTAGCCTGCTCACGCATCCTCTCAAGCTCCCGGTAAAAATCCACTTCCTCCATCTTTTCCCTCGCCCATTTGAACCGGAGCTCCCGTAAAAAGTCACCACGGATGCCGACTTCCCCAGCAAATCGACACATCTGCTTGACTTCATCGCAGTGGAGATACTTACGGAGCTCGGCACGGACTCGATCCCGCCGCATAGCTTCGTTGACGGAGGCGCTAACATCCAAGATCGTCTTCCACAAATCCTCGCTCAGATCGATCGGTGGCTCATCGGAGGCGGCTGCGGCGGGATCAAGGCGAGCGATGACGTTTTGGCATATGATAAGAAGCATGGAGTCGCGGGTGTCACGGGGAAGGTCCGGGTAGGCTTCGGAGATCTTTCCGCGGATGGAATAGACGAATCGGGAGAGGAATTCATTCATGTTGGCGTCTTCTTCAGTTTCGGCAGCTGGAGGAGATGGAGGAGAGTTTGTGGTGATGGGTTGAAGGAAGCGTGAGGGAAGCGTTTCAGGATTAGGGTTAGGATTTGAAGAATAGTCATGGTTAGATCGGATCAGGGTTTTGCCGGAGAGGAGGAAGGGGAGAGGGAGAGGGAGAGGGTTTCGCCGGAGACGGTGGAGAAGCGGTGAGGTTTTGCAGAAGAGTTTGGATGTTAATGTTCTCATTGGAGCGAGTAGTGGGATCGAAATGGAGCAGAATTGGGAACCAAAAAAGTAGTGAAGTCGGCACTTCAATGGTGGAGGTCTTAAACCCTCGGGACGATGCTCTATATGTATATATATGATGAACTTTGATGCTGGTATTTACTATATTATTATTTATGTTTTTTATATTTAAATTTTATTATTTATATTTTATAATACTTTGTTAACAAAATTAATAAATCTTGTTGAATACTAATCGAATCTTGTTTTACATGTCGTTGAACCTAATTGTTACCGTCAATCTCTTCTCCTAAACACATTGATGCCTTCACTTAACGTGTCAGAGAAATCCTGCCATTTTTTTGTTGACAACAGCTTCAAAAATTTCAATAAGAGAGTCATCACCGTCGAGAGAGCTCGCAAGTGGGGGCATCCATCAATCCAGACAAGGAAATCAAAAAGAAGGCTCGCAAGCAAGGTAGGTTTAAGCAGGATGAGCCTATGAACTTCATCATAACTCATGTTTCTTATAAGTTAGGATTAGTAATGTATCAACCATATCATTCATACAAACCACAAAAATCATCCTCTCTAATTGATCAATGTAATTGTTGCGTCTTGGAATATTCGCGGGGGTAAAGAGATATAGTTTAGCATCTTAGCTTTGTACAAAGATCCATAACACAAACATATGAAAGATCCATAGCGTTCATAAGAGACACAAGAGTTCTTACGTAGAAACTCCTAAAAAGGGTAAAAAAACTACGGGGTCTTACCCAATTGAAATGAATCCACTAATGTTTGCAGTTGATTACAATTGAGGCCTTTCCTTGGGAAGAAGGTATTGGCTCAATGTAGCAAATATACATCATATAAAGTACATTACATAGTGAAAGTTACCTGTTGATATGTTTGTTTGGTCAGCATGACCATTGTTGGGGGATGATGGTGGTTAGATGAACCATAATCGACAAGCAATGGAGGTCAGAAAGACTATAGTGGGCGAAGGCGATCAAAGAGATCGTAGTTTGGAGATGCTGGTCAAAGTGATCATAGTCAAGGAGCAACGAAGGTTAGAAAGACCATAGTCTTAGTCGGGTGACGGTGATCGAAAGGATCGTAGTTGGAAAGATCATAGCTGGGTGATGGTGGCTAAAAGGATAGTAGTTGGAAAGACCATAGTTTGGTGACAGTGGCTGAAAAAATCATAGTTAGAAAGACCATAGTTGGGTGACCGTGGTTGCAAGGAACGTAGTCGGCATGTAATGTTGGTGTTAAGATAAAAGTTTGGTGATGGCCGATGGTCAGACTTGTCTGACCACAGTTGGTAGCCGGGCAAAAAGTTCAGTATCGGGCAGCAGTCAGGCGAAAGTATGAAGTTAGTCGGTGACCGGGCAAAAATCTAGCGATGGTTGGTGGTGGGAGAAATGCTGAAGTAGATCGGTGGTTGGACAAAAGTTTGATGACGACTAGTGACCGGGTAGTGGTCGAGGAGAAGCTTGGTGGCAAGAGATATCTTAGATATCTCTTCATTCTTCCTTTTTTTTTCCTTCCTAGCTGGGTTACCCCCTCAATCTATAAATATTTTTTTTTAAAGTAGCATGACCAATAAATAAGGAGAAGATCGAGGGCATATTGGGAGTGTTTTGAATGGACGGTCGATATCGACTCCCTTAATTGTGGATCGTTTATTGAGTGTCTTAATGATATCATAATTCAGCGATCTTGGGCTCGTTGGATCTTTCTCGTTGAGTTGGTTGATTGGACTATAAGCATGTCACAATTGGAAATCGTTTTGTCATCTAATTTATAGTTTGAACATTTCAAATATGTTTCGGGTCCTCAATTTGGGTCTATTTGGGCTTGGATTGAGTCCAATTTACCGTTGTTGGTTTCGCCTTTTTAAGAAGTTCAGGTGAACTATAAGTTTGTTGAAATCAGATTGGAATGGTCGCAAATTTAATTTTGAAAGTTTACTATAAAAAATTATCTCAAAATTTATGCCCAATAAATAAAATTATTTGATGAATTATCGGTAATCATTTCATTCATCATTAATCATACACCGTAAAATATTTTGTTTGAAAAAAAAAAGTTTTATATTTGGATTAAGGATATAATATTTGAAAATTAAATTATATATTTTATAAATCCTTCTGTTTATTTTAATTTCTTATATTCAAATAATTTCCGCTCCCTAGACATAAGGTTGGGCCTTTCGGTAAACTTTATGGGCCAGAACACAGTGGGCCTGCTACTTACATTGAAATTCCTTGACTTACATTTTGCTGCTTTAGTGTTATGTTTCAATTTCAATTTTGTTTATATTTTATTGTAAATTTTATGATTTAAAGTGAAAAAAAAAAAACAATTTTTTGCTTCTTTAGTGTTAAGTTTCAATTTCAATTTTGTTTATATTTCATTATAAATTTTGTAAATTTTATGATTTAAAGTGAAAGAAAAAGTAACTAAGGTTCAATACTCATGCAGCTTCACAAGACTTCATTTATGAAATTATAAGACAATTTTGATGGTAAATTGAAAGTTATAACAATATTTTATTGAAAACTTATAAGGTTTGGTATATAACTTTTTTTTTTTTTTTATGCATATTGTGTGTGTGATTCATAGGCTCCACTCATATCATATTTTAACAAATAGAATGACTCTATCTCATTCATTCAGGTCATTCAGATCACATCATATCGTGAGAATCATTTTTAAGTGAATCATGCTAAGAGGATCAATTTTTTGGGTTGGGTGGCTCTCAGATTCTTGTTGGGTTGTTTATATGTCGCACTTGTGCTTTCTATCTCTTGACTGACTATGCTTTATCGAGACCTTTATATTATGGCTTCAATTTATCGAGTTTTGGTTAGGCAGGCTCCTGCTTTATTGGCTTGGACTATGATTATAACTTGCCAATGACACCCACTTGGACGGTCTTCAGGCAAACAGGGGACATCGTAAAAAAAGATATGAAAATTGACTGCTATACATTAGTCCATAGTGAATTATCTATCGTTTTATTTTATTTCTAGTTTTCTTTTGTTCTGTTATTTTTTTTTTGTTGGGCCCATTTTTATTCTTTTTTGGTTGACTCGTTTGCTTCTTTGTTATCTCGGTTCTTTTATTATTTGCAATATTTCTACTTATTAATAGAAGGGCGAAGCCCCAATTTTCCAAAAAAAAAAAAATACTGCTAGTAATATCCTTATATATTTCACCATACCTTTGAACAGTAAACCAGAGAATATATCTATAATAAAAAATTAGCTGTAATAAAAAATAATTTTATTTGAAATAATAAGATATATTGTACAACATATAATACAAATAAACAAAATATTAGAGTATTGGTTTGTATTACCAAAAAATTATCTTATATTTTTTTATAAGCATCTTATAACTTATATAACATAAATTAATATCCTAAACTCTTGATATATTTTTATATGAAGAGCTCCAATTGAAATTCTTTCTTATTCATGCCAAAAGCTTATCCTGTTGAGCCATAAGGACCACAGCTGTCCTCCATAAACTACTACAAAAAAAGAAAGAGCCAATATATGAAATTGGGTCCTTGAAAGAGAATGGTAGCTCTGATCTTTCCCAATCCAAAGAAAAAGAACAATTTCAATAGATTCACTACTAGATTTTCCATGGCCCACCTCCCTCTTCACCACAATGGAAGCCATGGAGCCCTAAACCCTTAAAAAAAAAGCCATAGGGGAATAATCCAAAAGCACAAGAAAGCCTTGAAGGAAGGTGATGAGAAAGTGCAAGTGATGGTGAAGAGAAAGGCTCCTTTGCCATATATTAATTGTGTTATCATTCCACTTGAAGCTCTTGAAGTAGAAATATTTGGACAAATAGATTTGATTGACATATACATTGAAGGTTTAGAACTTTCTTTTTCATGTGGAGATAAGCCATGTTAGTTGAATGGCTTCTTGTTAAATAGTTATCCAACAAAATGTACTTGCACATATTTTTTTTCTAAGACTTTGATTGGGTCGGCGTTCTTACTGCTTCTTAAAACAGTTTTCTAATATTTGTACTAGAAGTCTGCTTTAAGAAGCAGCAAGAAAGCCGTCCCAAACAAAACTTAAGTATGTAGCTTGTTCACTTTAATTAATTTTTTGCTATCAAGTTTTCCGTCGCTAAATTTCATTTGTTAGAGTTTATTCTTTTGGTATTTAGAGTGCGTTTTTTTTTTTTTTTTTTTTTTTTTCCCACTTTTTTTTTTTTTTTTTTTTTTTTTACCACTTTGATTCATATCTACTTTATTAGACTTTAGTTACTCTCCAAACCCCTTAAAAATATTTTTGAGTTCCATACAATAATAAATTAAAATTATAATAAGAAGACATCAAACTAAAAATTATATTAGTGAGAGGGTGAGAAAAACATATGTTGAAGATAACATATTGAAATATATTTAGATGATATATGTATACATAATAAAGAGTGTAAGATGTATTAATTCATAAGATAAAAGATTAAATTAATTAAGCTGAAATTATTATAAAAAGAAAATATATAGAACTTCATACGGTGGAAAATTTATTTAAAATAAAGTTAATTACAATCTATCAAATATAATAATTGAGGTTTTCCTTTTGATAAAAAATAGAACATTATCTTAATGTTGATTTAATACAAAATTAAGCATCAATAAATAGAACATGAATGAGGAAATTGAGTTATCACATGATATCATTAATGGCATGAAGTAACCTATCTAACCAATATTCATAAAAATATATTAATTTTTGCAATAATTTGTTATATGATGAAGACAGACTCAAACCATCAATGGCGAAAGTGATTTATGCTTCGTTTGTGACTGCTTTTTTATTGCTTCATAAAGTAGATTTCTAGTATAAAAAATTAAATATTTTGTACTAGAAAGCTGCTTTAAGAAGCAGTAAAAAAGTTGACCAAAACGAAGTCTTAGACTTCATTTGAGATATCTTTCTTACTTTTTTTTTAAAAACAACTTTTAAGTACAAAAATATCAAAACGGTGGATAAAAAAATCCCAAATTAAGCCTTAATTTTTTTATCCTTTATTTTCAGTTTGATAATTAAGAAAGATATTTGTGAGTTGCATGGAGTTATTGCAAAATATTCTCTCCATTCTTTTGTGCCATGAAACTCATTTTAAATAATTAAAAAAAAAATCTTATGACATGAGAGGTATTAATATCTCACATCATAATAACACTAAAGCCTTTGTCATGAATGATGTACCATGACATGATCACATAATTATTATATATATATAGTACAAAACTATGGTTAGAAATATTTTACACATATATTTGATAAAGAATTTTTAGAGAATTACAAAAGGCAAATGGCCCTCAATTCATAGCTAGAAAATCTATCTGACTAGAAATTCTCACATCTCCATCTTCAAATTGTATGGTGAGTAACCATCTGCATGAGCAAGAACAAAGCCAATAGACACACTTTATAAATAATATATTTGTATTTGGAGCTAAATATATGCATGCAATTAAGAATATTTTTACCTGGTAATGATTGAAGTGGCAACTGATCATGGAACTCTAAATCACAGATGTTCTGAGAATTAGCATCCCAACTAGAACTATGAACCTGAAAATGCAAGCAAATAGGAAATCAGTTGATCATGTTAGCTTCAAGCATATATAGATTTTGGGTTCGTTTGGGACAGTTTTCTTACTACTTTTTATAGCGGTTCTTTAGCATAAAATTTTTAATTTTTAAACTAGAAAGCTGTTTTCAGAAACATTTAAAAAGCTGTCCCAAACGAAGCCTTTATTTGAAACAATTTTTCAATTGTTTTCGTGGTGAGAAAAGTAGTTAGGAAGATAATTTTTTCGCCGTTACTTCAAACTTTTGCTTTCAAAAAGTTGTTTTTAGAAAAGCATTTTTTAAAGTAGTTAAAAAACAAAAAAACTCAAGTTTCCCAAATAAAACTATATTCACATATTATCTTTAAAAATCCATACTTAAAAATTATAATTAAAAAAAAGTATGGCTAAAGATTAAAAAGTTTTTACCCTAAATTATTATTAATATTAGTCTCATTACTTCAACAAAAATGCACATATAAATTTAAATTCTAATGCTATGCCAATTACATAAAACTGATACGAAAAAATTATAAAAATTTAGAAATAATTACGTTGAAAGATGGATCCAAGAATGTATCATGAACAGTAAGCGGCGAGCTCAAACTTTGTCGGATCACGAGATCGGAGAAATTGACGTCGATGTTTAGCCCACAACTTGTAGCCATTTGATGCATTGGGTTCATTTTAAAGTAATTAGGCTCCACCAACTCAGTTGACACACTAACTGTAGGAATGCTAGGGTTACAGGCCAAATTCACCTACATGTACAAAATTCATCATGGTCAAATTTAGGTGAGAATATCATCAGATGAGAAAGGACCACTGCCTTAGAACGGCTTTTTAATGCTTCTTAAAACAGCTTTTTAATACAAAAATTAAAATTTTATACTATAAAGCTGTTTTACGAAGCAGTAAAAAAGCCGTCCCAAACGAAGCCTTAATGAACATAATCCACTCTTTCTCACAAAAAAAAATAAAATAGAAGAAGTGATCTACCTCTTTTGGTAAGAAGCTATCTATATTGAAATCTATCCAAGGATTCACAGTTGCCAACTTCATAGATAAAAACTGTTAATCCCACCAAAAACAAAAGAAAAAGTTAATTAATTAGTAATAATCTCTCACTAATTACAATTTATCAACTTCTATTCCCTTGTTAATTACCTCAACTTGTCTCTGTAATGACTGAACATAGTTGATAATCTCATCAAGCATTCCTGCTTTTCCAGTAATCTTATTACATCCTGGCACCAGCCCTTGCAAGTATTTCATTCTCTCACTAATCCTCTCTCTCCTCACCTGAAACATTCAAATCAAATTATTATTTTTTATTTTATTTTATTATAATATATATGTGAGAGTATTAATTTTAATTTTATATCCAATATTTTATGAATTAAGAATAGCTTGATGTAGAAACACTTTTTTTTTTTTAACAATTTTTTTCTAACAAATTTTAAGAAAAATGGAAAAAATTACAGTTTTTTATTAAAAAGAAATACTGAAATATTCATTATTTTGCATTTATTTTTATTTATGTATATATATAAACGACAAATATATTAATTTTTATGAACTATCAAATTATATGATGATCGAAGTGTTGAGAATTAGGCAAAATAATACATATATCATTTTTAATTTATATAAAATTATCTGAAAATTAGATATTTATCAACATAATAAAGTAAAATTTTGTAGTAGTGGCCCGAATGATAAAATTTATTTCTTTGTTTCTTTTTTCTCTCACAAAAAATACGGAATAAATTTTACTTACTATTCGGGTCCACTTTTGTACAAAATTACTGTGACGTAGAATTTCTGCCACAGAAGGAGAAGATACTCACTCTCTCAGCCAAGCTATGGCTGTCGGTGGCCTGACCTCGCCGGGCTCGAACATGAATAAAATCCCTCTTTAGAGGCGGCGCAGCCGTCTCCGCCTCGGCTCCACTCTCCTTAAACTTCTCCGGCTTGTCATCAGGCTTCATCTTCTTCTCTTTCTCTTCTTCTTCGCCACTATTCACCTGAGAAAAAGGAGAGATTTTTAAGCTTCAAAAAGGGGAAGAAGAAGTTAGAAGAAAACAGAGCATTCTCTTACTGTTGGAGCCTTTCTCTTCCTTAAAGATCCTCCCTTTTTGTTCTTTAAGGAAGAATCTGAGCAGAAATATTGATCAGTTTGGAGATTTTGAGGCGAAATGGGCAGAGAAATGAGGTTATCGAAGCTTAAATTGTTGATTTCGTTCATGGATTCGAAGCTTTGTTGCCTTTGGAGACGAGCTCTCTGCCTTTCAAGAACAGAGAGGTTGGAAGCAGAAGAACAAGGGTTGAGACACTGCAAAATCTCTTGCATTACTTCTAGAGAAAGAAAGTAAGAGACTGTGAGAGCGAGCGGTTCTTCTTATCTAATAAAAGGCTATTATTTTGCTGAAAGGCTGCTCTGCATCCGCTCTGCACTTATAGAAGATTCATCAGGTTCGCCACTTCGCCGCCTTTCCCTGTCATTAATTAGTCTCTCATTTGGGCAAATATGTGATTTTCGTATTATGAGGTACAAACTTGAATTATTATTATTGTGGACAACTAGCTTTTTCAATTAAGTTATAGCTGCATTAAAATTTTATTTTAAAATAAATTAGTTTATTAATTTGAATAAATATATCCTCCCATTTTTTTATTTAATTATACCCCAACATTCATTTTAAACAGTATACGCCTATTATTATTATTATTATGCTTGGCTGCTTGGTTAGATAGTTCGAACAAAACCTTTGTTTGACCTACGGGTGTCAATTTCTGGTCACGGATCAAACTTAAAATTGACCCAACATTATTTAGGTCAATTCAAATCTAACCCATTTTTGCAAACAGATCAGTTTTTCAAACCCAAACCCGACCCGCTTCGGATCTGGGTCAACTCGACACGACCCGAATGACCTAGGACTATGAAAAAATTGCTAATTTTCTGGTCAAAAAAGGGGGTCAAACTCCCCTTTTTGGGTAAAAAAAATGTCAATCTCGGGATTTTTGCATAAAAAACGGATTACTTTTGTTTAAAGGGTTAACCTAAACCCGACCCGATTTTTAAAACGGATAAATTGTTGAACCTGAACTCGACCCATTTCGATTTCAGATTGACCATAACCCGAAATTTTCAGGTCGGGTTTTCGACTCAGGTCAAATATTGGCACCTCTAGTTTACTTTGATATCCCTCCTCTCTGTTTGGCATAGCCGGGAGAGTTTATTCTGTGCGGACATCGAACGGGAGAATCGTTCGGTTACGCTCGGTACCAAGCTCGATACCGAGCGCGATCTATTTTTGAGGTGACTTGGCGCATTATTATTGCTCTTCGAACAAATCCGTGTCCGCACAAATTAATAAATCCGTCGCCTGAGGCTTTCAGACTCTCCCAATCTACAAGCACTCCAAGCCATGATGAATCATTTTGTGCGGGCACGAGAGTGTTCTCCCGTCCGGTGTACTCTCTGTCTATAATAAAAATACAGTGAACTGCACTTTAGCAACTATGCTTTTTTACTATAGACAAATGGAAGACCGGATGGTTCTCTACGTCCGGTATCCGAACAGAATAATTTCTCTCAAACCACAGCTCACCCTGACAACCCTCCAATGAAGCCTGGATCTGGACGGCTGAGCTACTCTCACCACCATCCCTGCCATTAACTCCTTCCATCGCTTATGTCTTGGCCCAACAATGGCTTTTTTCCAAGTAAAATAAGCCAAACATTAAGCCGCCATCTCTCAAATGCCTTGCTCTGCCTCGACACTGACACGCTCCCGCTGATCACTTGCCGCTCATCCTCCAGCAAGGTGACCGCGCGGTGAGCCCGGAAGCCTCTCATAATGCTTGATATCGTTCAACATATGAAATCTTAACCACAAGTAAATATACAATATGAATAAATAAAATTTAGGTATAATTTTCATAAGGTTCAACCACTAGTTAGCCTACATCCACTTCTAAGATCATCTCCAACCGAACGTCAAACGAGCGTTTGGCGTCGTTCGGTCGCTCCAGCCGAACGCCAAAACGTCTGCCATTCGCCATCGGGTGAACAGTTCAACGCCAATATTGGCGTTGCGCTGTTCACCCATGCTATTTTACTCTCTCAACCGGAAAAACGCGCCAAAGGAGAAGGATCGTTACTTTCGCGCATAAGCAAAAAAATGGCGTTTGATTGGAGCAGCACCACGCCATTTTTGCGTTTTGCGGTATTTTGGCGTGAAAAATAGAGTTCTCTATTGGAGATGCCCTAAGCCCTCGGTCAATTTGACTTCGTTTGGGACAACTTTATATCGTTATTGTTTCTTAATGTTTTTAAGAGATTTTTTAACTAAAAAAAATAGCTTAATATCACAAATAAAACCTTAGGATTTCGGCTTCTTTGAGCTAAACTCAAGATCTAAGGAGCCTTAGAAAAGCTTGCAATCAAACAAAAACACTTTTTATATTATTTATTTTGAAGGTGATATATTAGTATATTAGGAATATTGTCACTTAAATTCAAGAAGGATTATTTTTAAGTATGACATAAATAAATCAATCATTTTATTATGCCTATTTTTCAATAATTTTTTTTTTAGGATATGTTAACATTTCTGCATCGATGAGAGTTTTTTTTTTTTTCTTAGCATTAGTTTGAAAGAGGCTCTCGTCGTGGTAGAGAAATTATTCTTCGCGGGTATTGGATGTCATCTAGAGGTCAACCAAAAAGCGTCACGTCACCTGTACCCAACGATACCCAGCATTAGCACCGAGCAAAAAGTAACGTGGCGCGTTCTAGTTGACCTCTGAACGACGTCCGGCGTCCGTACAGAATAATTTATCGTCATGATGCTGCTGGTGATGGTGATAGTGATGATCAAAATGTGGTCCTTAGAAGTGGGTATAGAGGTTGGCAACACTACTCCAATGATTATTCCTTAAGATAAGTTAGGATATGAGTTTGCACAAGCAAATTATAATTTGCAAATTTATAGGTTCAAATAAATTTCAAATGTAAAAACAAATTATTAGCTATTTTCTTTTATAGAATGTAATTTAATGTTTTATTAACATACTAAAAAAAGCATAATATTATGTGGTGATAACTTGCACATCTATTTTTTTATAATAGAATTTTAAAACTTAATTTTTTCAAAAAAAAAAATCAATTTATATAAAAAAAATGTATGCAACCGGTACTATTTTAATGCAAATAAAAGTACTTTAAAGTAAATTATCTATAAAAAATTTTAATTTTAAATGGAATGAAAAGTAATCACCGTCAAAGTACGATTATGGTATGAATAAGCAGACGGTTAGAAGTTGAACTGTAGAAGAAATGGTAAGAAGACAGCTGTCTGACTGGCAGATAGCTGCTTTCTTATGATTCCTTCATCCACGATATGGCCCCACCTTGACACGAACGCCACGTGGCTTTGTCTCAAATCTAGCTTCACCTAAAGTATAAAAAAGATTTTTATTTTTCATAAAAATTGTATACGATAATTTTTTTTATTGAAAATAATAATTTTAACAATTTTTTTTTATAATTGAGTGTTGAAATATAATTTGATAAAAACGATATTTGATTAAAATGTTTTTTTAATAATTTTAAAATTTTGGTAGCTAAGTTAATAGATAACCATAGTAATAATTAGAGACTAAAATAAAAAATAAATATCACATTAATATAATAAAATTTATATTAATAAATTTAAAAATTCAATGAGATGTAATTTACTTATTAGTTAAAAATTCTTAGAGCTTATTCTAAATTTTAAATAATTTTTGTAGGTTTAGTCATTAAATCATAATATGCTATTACATTTAATCTTATAATGCAATTTAAATATTTTTTAATACTTGTATATTATAGATATTTTATCAAATATCGACTAGGTTAGGCATAAATCTCAAAGCTTATCTGAATTAAAATTTTTGTAAATCAAAATTAATAGTTTTTCGACTATCATCACCTGATTACAATTATGAAGCATTATTATCATAGCCCAAAAACAGTCTTTCAATCACCAAACTTTAATCCTTTGACCATCATCACCGTATCCCAGCAATGGTTCTCTGATCATAACCTGACTATTTTCTCATTTGAGTACTATTACTCAATTATAATCTTCTAATCAAAACTTTAAATTAAGATTAATTAACATAATTTGTCAAATGTAATAAATTATTATATTATTTATTTCTTATGTCAAAACTATTTATCATAAATATATTATATTTTTAAAATATACATATTATAAATTAATTAATCTTAATAATACGCAAAAAATAATATGACTCACTCTTGCTAATAAAAATTTCCACCCTCATTTTGCTCCCACTTTGCACCCAAAATTTACGTTAAAATTTGTGTTTGAAGATTATTAAGTGATTCGAAGTGTTTGCTGACTTAATAAGTAATTATTTTAAAATAAAAATTTAAATTTTATATCACGCATTTTATGATTTATTGATGATCAGAAAAAAATATACATTTTAAAGTTATTAAAAGTTAATCATTCTTAAACCATTATTTGATTCGAAACCTATAAATTGAAAATAATAATAATAATAATAATAATAATAATAAAAGTACGGTTCAGAAATTGGTGTCTTTTCAGTCCTTGCGAAGATTCGGGCGGTTGCTCGAAAGGTCACGTGATTTTGTCCACGTTGCTCAAAATAAGAGGATGGTTCGCCACGTGGACTGATGACCTGGCTGAATGGATGAAACGTTCTTTGGTGGGCTTGGGCTGAAGTTCACAAAGCAATGTCCGGGCCCAAACTAGCCCAGACTTAAGAAATAATAAAAATGGGAAATTTGGATAATATAATAATATAACGAAATTATATCAGAGTGGCCCAAACTGATATTCATCGATCATCATCATCATCATGATATTAGTATATTATTCTCAATAATAAGCCCTTCCTCAACAAATTCATTTTAACAAAATAAAAAAAAAAAATAAAATATGTTAATTGATTCTTTTCTGAAGAAAATAAATTATATTAACCCAAAAATATAGTAAAATTTTTAATTTATCATAACATTTTAAAATTAATTTATATTTAGTTTTAATTGTTCCAAATAGATCTCAATGTAATTTAAAATTATTATTTATAACTATTAAACTTGATTGCAAAGATTTGAAGATATTATAAACTCAAATTCGTAATGTTAAATTTATAGGAGAAATCAATACATGCATACATTCATACATAAATATAACTTTTTTACTAATGAATATATTGTGCTCTTGAGATTGCACGTCGCATGTTTTATCCCTCATGCATTTTGAGCCTATCAATCCATACACTTGGATGGAAACATTCCATTAAAATCAGTGAAGAAAAATTATTTATAATGTTAGACAACACTCCACCTTCAAAGTATTATATATATATATACTAATATATATATATTATATATATTATATATATATAAAATATAGTATATAGTATATATATATATATATATATATATATACACACACACATTAAGCTTAAAGATTGATTTGATTAAGACCTACTTCAATTCCCTTAGTTGGCTTATTTGATTTTGTAGGCAGATTTGAGAGCAAATCAACTATATTAAATAACTTTGCATCTCATCTTTAGAATAATATCTTTAACACAACGATTGCAAGAGTCAATATCACTTTAATAAATGTAGATAGCATTATTTAGTGTGAGTGTGTATATATATACTAGTCTTATTATTTCAATAATGTTCATATTTGATGCAATATGTCTATTTTATAGTTAGTCATAATTAAAAATTATATATATGTTGAATAGATAGTGAATTATTCGTTATAAATTCTAATAGAATGAGCGGGACCCAAATCTTCGTTTGACTCACTAATAGGCACTATACATTATATGCATGAAGCAATATATACTACTTGTATTTGGCACTATCTTATGTAATATTTGTATATACTATCTTGCACACGTGTGAGGAGATCATACATATCTATATCTATATATATATATATATATATTCAAATAAAGAGCCCGTATATAATATTGCATACAATTAATTACTAATTAGTGACTTATCTTGTTGTCTTTGTTGTGATAGTATAGGCATGCGTTAAAAATATAAGAAATATATTTTAAAAAGTAATTAATCAAAAGCATATGCTGCAAAATAGAATAAATTTGTGTGATATTTTTTGGTACTTTATATTTAAATTTATTCACTTATATTATCTAAAGAATCTATTTTTAATTATTCTTGATCATTAATTTGGAATTTCTCTTATCTTTTTCTTCATCTTGTGAATTGTGGCCACCCCTCCACTCAAATTCATGCATAGGAAATGAATGGCTATTTGGTGAGGATTCTCATGCATTTTAAAAAAACCTTAAATTTGGATATTTTGTGTAAAATTACAATTTAAAGTTTAATTTATCCCCTCTACTTTGGAATTTGTTGCTCAAATAATATAGTTTTATGTAGTTGAATTCCATCAAACTTAATTTCACTAATTACAATGACATGCAAATTAAATCTTGGTCATTGGGCTACTTATTTTATGATATAATACTTTTAAAATATATATAAGATTATTTAATTATGATTAAAATAAAATAATTTTTTGCAGAATTTTAATCAATAAAATATTTATAGAAAAAATTAAAATAATAATATTAAAATTCTTGTGTCATATGAATTAATTGCACTATGACTAATAATCAATAGATGATTACTATTTCCAGACAAACTTGGCCTGCATTAATGAGAGTCTACATTGATAGCTCTATATTGATGAATTTGTCTTGGGTCCCTTAGTACTAATCCCTTATTGCTATTGTTAAAGGGACAAATGCTAGCAATAAACCCTAAAAAAAGGGGATTCTTGCATGGAATCTAGATTGATTTTGGTGGCTTCATAGCTTTCCATTAAAGGTAAGTTTAAGAAGTTATTTTATTGATCAAAAATATAAATGTGTATATTGTATGTGTGTATGTTTAAAAAAATAATAATTGAAGAAATTAAATAAGCATGAAGAAGGTATATAATTTAATTCACAAAATGATAAATTCTATACTTTTACAAAAAAAGTTAAAAATATTATGCAAATAAATTAATTGTTAAAATAATATTTAAATTTTTAATTTAAAAGTTTATTATTAATTTTTTGATATTCTTAATATTTTTTAAGTGTATATTGTGCCCTTGAATATCGCATTGTTTGATATTATGAATGTTGGTACATCGAAAATTAGATCAAATAAAAACTCATTTCTACTTATCAGGTTGATTCAAATTCTTTATAGTTATTTTGTTAATTTTATTCGTCTAATTCAATCATTTATAAATTTTAATTGATTGAAATTGAATCCGTCATTTCTTTTAAAAATAATTTTAGTTTATTGAATTTAATCCTAATTGTTTAAAATTGGTTGTGCAATTAGGATTCAACATAGTTCAAATTTAGAGATCAAGAGGGTCACCCCAATCTTATATCAAAATTACTTCAAATTTAACTCCATTTAAAGCCAATTCGAATCAATTTCAAATGTTATTCATCTCACATGAAGGTAATTTAAGCCAATTTTTTTAAAAATATACAATTTATATTATATACAATGTATATTATGAATGATAAATAATTTATTTTGATTAAGCAAAAATTAAATCATTTTTAACTCAAATCAATTAGGTTTTTTTAGCTTATTAGAATAAAATTTTCAAATAAAAATCAAATTAACTTGACTTGACTTGATATCAATCCTACTATTATTATTTTTTCCTACCACAACTAAATAATTATTTTTGGGGTTTAATTAGTATGTGGTAATGTTGCCCTCCATGACTCCATGCTTCTTTTGAACATTTATAGGATACATCACATGAGCTTTATGGGGCCATGAAGTGACATACATCATCAATCTATCTCCTATCTTCTCTCTCTATAATTTTTTTTTAAATAGTCTATTTGCATTTCTTCTATTATGATTTATGAAAAATGATTTTTATTTCTTAGGCTCTATTTTTTTATTCTTCTCATATAATGATTGAAATTTTTAGCATTATTTGCCTTTGGTCACAAACACAAGCAAAGCAATCAAGAAGCTGAACTTCAGAACTTAAAATAAGCAAAATATCATAATACTTATAAGTATAGGCATAATTTAATGATATTACCTTTTAAGATGATAGTTCCAATTTCATAAACCTTCAAGGGAAGTTTAGTGCTTTCATTATAAGTTACATATAATGATGATTAGAGGTGTAAATAAGTCAAGCCGACTAGTGAGCCGGCTCGGGCTCAACTCGGCTCGCTAAATGGCTCATAAGCCAAGCTCTTGAGCTAAAGAGCCAAGTTTGAGCTAGGCATTACACAACTCCTTAGCTCGCAAGTCGGCCAGTTTAAAAAATATTAATATAAAATACTGTTCAAATATATTAGCATTCAAGATTTTGAATTACAAGCTTACAAAAATGTTTTAAAATATATATCTCATTGTCCTATATTAAGTTATTCTTTGTTATTTTTCTTTTAATTCCTCATTCATTTTGTCATTACATTATAATAATTGCATAAATCATAATCATTTTCTCTCTTTCATAGGCTTATGAGCCAGCTCGAACTCGTAGAATAGAGCTCGAGCTCGATTAATTAATCAAGCTCAAGTTCAAGCCGGGGTGACTCGAGGTCGATTCGACTCATTTACACCCCTAATGACAATGCTCTCTCCATTCAAAATTAAAAAATAAAGGCAGCCCAAAATTACAAGAAAAACTCCAAAGCACCATTAATAAAACAGCTCATAAATATTATATTCCTTTCACGTCGGAATTTAAAGAGTTTCTTCCTAAAAACAAAAAAAATTAGGCTCTACAACTTAACAATATAAAAAATAAAATAAAGCATTTCTTTCTATGCATTTTAGCTATACATCACTATAACATGAAGCATCTCAAATATGTCAATCCCTCTCACAAAAATCTGAAGCTGGACCAGCATCTTAAAAGAAAAGAAAATAATATGGATAACTCACAGAATATGACCCCACATAAGTTGGTTGATGATGAGAAATCCTATCTCTTAGAATTAAAGCATCTTCATTTTTTATTTTGTTTTTCAGAAAAAAGATGCTTTGGACCATCAAACAACTGTAAAGATGCAAGAAATAGAAAGATTTCAATCACCTCAAGTGCGCTACTGACTGGTTTTGTTGCCAGAAAACGGTCAATTTGTGAATGAAGAGAAACAGCTGGATTTGGCCTCTTTCATAATTGGATCTTTGCTGTTCTGGAACAGGATCTGAGACTAAATTGCATTGGGGCTCGTTGAAGAGCAATTCCACAACGATGAAGAACGATTGAGCCCCATATTTTACTTATTGAAACACTGTAGGTAGTTAGTACACAGCAATGGAGCTTTCAGTTTGAGAGTTTGATAGAAGTCAAAGATGATCAATCGCTGCGCCTGCATTGCAGTGAAAATCAAAATGGCACCACAAGTGTTTGTCGAAATTCAGGAAAAGATGATTAGTATTGAGCCTTACAAGAAAATTCTGAGTTTGAGAAGACTTGATTAAGATTTACAGTTCATGATTTGAAGCATAGGGATGAGTATGGGTAAGAACTTAAGAGGCCAGAGAAAAAAGGGTCGGGCTAGGTTGTATCGAGATTTAGATTTTGTTTGGGACAACTTTTTTGTTGCTTTCTAAAGTACATTTTTAGTTTAAAAATTTCTAGAATTGGAATTTTTTTGTACTAAGATCCTAAACCCTAAAAACAATAAGAAAGCTATTCCAAACGATGGCTTTCTTACGGCTGCTTAAAACAGTTTTATAGTAGAAAAATTTTAATTTTTGTACTAAAAAGCTACTTTAAGAAGCAATAAGAAAGCCGTCCCAAACGAAGCCTTAGCCCACAAAACTTGACTATTTTGGTTGTGTTAGGTTGATACAGAGGACCATAATGGGACTGAGAAATATACAAATATATATATTGGAATTGTGATATCAATTAAACTACTATGATACAGCACTGTTTTTATCTCAAGCATATCGAGGGGAATGTCTTTGAATATATATATATTGTGATAAACTTTTCTAATAAATCAAAAGATGCTATCAATGCCATGTGAAACTTTAAAAAATATCAGTCACGCTTCTTTGCAATTAATTGGTGGTGGAATGAAGAAACCCAATGGGTCATTCGCTGACAAATTAACAGATAATGGAGATCTACTCATTGTAGAAAATATTAAAATTTTCATATTGTCATGGGCTAAATTTATTAATTTAGAATGGTTTATAAATATGGAAGATTTAAGTGCTCTCTACACAATATAATGTGATGTGGTGAGGACTGTAGCAAGCGGTCATATATCAATAAGAAACAAAAAACAAAATATAATAACATAATGCATTGTGAGGTTGTTTTCATGGTTTCTGAGAAGGTCATATATCTTTCAATGCTAATGATCTTATGAATGCAGGGTGATTTAGGCTAATTTAATCTGTATAAAAAACCGGACTTTTTATTGTGTGCGGACAATAGTTGGAGAGAATCATCCGGTTTTTTTTTTCTATCTATAGTAAAAGCACAGTCAAAGCGCAGTTGTTATAGTAACTACACTTTTACTATATGCAGAGAGAAAAACCGGACGATTATGTCCGTCCGGTGTCCGCCCAAAATAATCTCTCAAAAAACAGAGGCTGTTTCAGTGGAAAAGAATAGAAAAATAGGAGAATGAATTCAAGGTTTTACCTAATTGCTGATAAGAGGTGGAAATTGTATAGGTAAAGGCTTGATTAAGATGCCAAACTTTAATTTGCATATATAAAAAGGATTATTGTACAAAGCATGGTTCATAAATAATTGAAAAGCAGTAATACATATGGTATGTTAGCAAAATGTCTTATATCCATTCTTCAAACTCAGTGATCAATAAATCAAGAGATTGGATAATAATAAACAACACGATAGCAAGTGATACTTTGCAAGACATGTTATATAGAAAGAAATATAAGATACAATGATGAATTGTACACAACTACAACATATCATATTGTTTTAGCTGTCAGCCATTAGGTTTTATTTATGATAGGAAAACGTGGAATACTCCTGTACATCCAACTTTATATTTTACCTCGTAGCAATATAAAGTTAAGAATTTGAATTAAAAAAATATATGTTAGAGAAGATTGCTGATGATAAAATAATTTGCATCACAAATGAAATTTACATTAATCAAGGAAACACAAAGTAACAAAACATAATAGCAAATATTAATTGACCACACTAATTGCAATTTAAAAAAGAACAATCAGTTGATTGTTCCAAAATTTATACATTACAACGCATGGTATAATACACTATTTCATTAAGAGATAACCACTGAAATTGATAATCACAATATGGTTATCAATTGACAACTGAACGAACGATTTCCTACTTCACAACTCATGTATGCACCTCATTGTGAAGACACACAAGGGAAGCCCACAAAAAATTATGAGGTAAAATGTAGAAAAATTTCTAGCTTGTTGGGGGAAGAAAAAGGAGATATATAGCATTGCCAATCACAATACAATATTGATCATTAAACAGTTAATTACAACAGCCTAAACTCTAAACTACAATAAAGTGCTATATTAGTTAAGTGCTGATCTGTTGATGGTGTATAGGAGCAAGTGTCATACCTTATAAAAATTGCCAGACACTCAGAAAAACGCCAGGGATTTTGATATTGATTTCATTTTCAGACTAAGAAAGCCAAAGGACTTATATTTTGATACTGGCTTTTTAGATTTCTTAACTGGATGCTCAACTAATTCAGATACAGGTTCACGATGAGGCTGTGGACTGTCAAGACGATCAATACGTCTTATATCTCTCAAAACATGGAGTAGCTTAATAGAGTTCTCCTTTGCCTTTGCACTTCCATTCACAGAAATATGGACGAGTGATGGAATAACCCCCTCTTTCAAGACGAGCAAACAATTTCTCAAACTGCGAGAACATAGGGAAAGTAAGATGGTGACAGCTTGTTCCTGCTCTGGTTCACCGAATTCAAGAACTTCAGCTATGGAAGCAATGCAGCCATTTGCATCAGCAATCAGCATTGAAGCCTCTTCATCTCCAACTAGATTCTGTAGAATATTTAAACTCAATCTGACCAGACTTTTACTGCTCAAAAGTTGACCAATTTTTTCTATGCATGAAGAGGATAGAAAATTATATCTCATTTCTCCATTAGATGACAACTCTGAGAGGATCTTCATAGCAATCTCCACACATTCACCATTTTCAGAATTTAGAAAATTTATGACTTTGAGAGGAATATCGGATGCCACAATACATGCCACAAAGTCAGGACGAAGGGCAACCTTTTGTAGAATCGCTAAAGCTTCCTTGTCTATACCACAATGAAGAAATGATGACAGCGATTGAATTGCATCTTCACTTTTGAAATTATGCTCCCAACTGCATACAGCAAACACATTCAGCATCTCAGAAAACAAAAATAAATCAGAAGACAAGAAATGCTCGAACTGAAAAGCAAAATAGTTGAGAGGACCAAAAGAAAAGTACATAAAGAAATGAAGCTTTCAAAATAAGGCACAACTACCTTTCATTAGCAAAAAGTGCAAGAAAAATTTGAGCTCCACTTCTTTGCGCAGGTAAATCAGATAGTGAACATGCTTTCTTCAAAAATATCATGAGTGCTTCAGCAAATTTGCTATAGTGCATGCCACAGTTAACCACTTCACCTTCCAAAATGTATTTTATTTCTTCCACTGCTTTTACTTTGAGTAAGGTCGGAAGCTCAGAAAGATGAAATAAGAACCTCAGATACATATCCGGACTAAATTTTGCAAAGGATTGATCATTTTGGTAATCATCACTCCAAGAGAACAATCGCACATAATTATTGTTTGAGCTCTCAACCTTTTTAACATGAGATGAATCTGAATAACAACAAGAACTAGAATTCAAAGATGATATATTTCTCACACTTTCAAGTAGACAGTAATCTCCTTTGGTCCCATCTAACAGTGCCGTAGATATATTTTTCAAGCTTGAAACTGAACTGCAGCGGATGGATTCCAAAGCTTGAATGTCTACCCCTTCGGGCTGAGGGCAAGGATTCAGAATAATGACACCATGCTTTCGGCACCAGCTTGAAATAAGATTCTTCATGGAAGAATTAGGAACTACAGAAAAATTTTCTAACTTCTTGTGTGTCTTAGGACATGTATCATGCCCCTCGCTAAACCACTTTTCTATGAAAATCCTTTCAAAAGTTTTCCCAGAAGCTATGATGACTGGATCGAACATTAAACTTGATGATATGGGACAAAAGAATTCTTCAGGAGGTAAGTCGCCATTGAATAGTTCACTTTGAGCTTCAACATTATTAGGTGGCTGAAAGTTGTCACCAATCAAACAAGAATCTGATTCAGAGTTCATTCTTTCATTTAAGCAGTTATTCTGTGAGTTGGCATTTTCTTTCTGCTCCACAGTATCAGGCCTTAATTGTTTTCCATGAGTCTTAATGAGATAAAGGAAATACATTAGTATTCTCTCTTTTTTCTTATCAACATTATGGAATTTATCCAGAAGCTTTTTTACGGCCCTTCTCTCAACCAAAAGAGCTATTGAAGAAGTGATGTTTAATCTTGAAGCTGCATTCTGGAAGGCTTCATATTCTTGGTGTTCACTTGAGTTAATTTGTGCCATAAGATTCAATAAAACCTTTCCAGCCTCCTCTTCTTTAGGATTTATGATAAACTTTACATCTCTGAGATAATCAATAACTTCAGAAATCTGCAGATAAAATGCTAAACAATTAAAAGGATTATGTCAACAAAATGCATATGCACAAAAGTAGTAACCAAAAAAAAAATCCTCATGCAATAGATGGCATGGGGAATGATCTGCTTCTGACTCAAATTAAAAAGGTGTTTTTGATGCATGGAGCTCCCCCTAATGCAGGGTTTGAGGAAGGGTTTATGTATGCAATCTTATCCATGCATTTTGAGAGAAGCTATTTCCAAGATTTGAGCCTAGGAACTCGATAATGCAATAGATTCAACTTAATCACTACTCCATACTAGGGGTGTCAATATTTGACCAGACCCGAAAAATTCCGGGTTTGGGTTTGATTTTTTGACCCGTTTTTAAAATCGCGTCGGGTTCAAGTTGAACCGGAAACCCAATAATGACCCGTGTTGACCCACCCTGGCACCCGCTGCCCAACTCGCCCTGGCATGCGCTGCTGACCCGCGCTCACACTGCACCGGCGCACCCTCCAAGGCTTGCAACTGCACCCGAACACTCGGACCCATGCCCACTTGGCAGGCCGCAGCACGCCCTGATGCAGGACTAAGTATGAAATGCTATTAGTTCAATAGGATTTTGCACAACTCGTGATTGGAATAATCATAGAACAAAACTAATAGCACTTCAAAACAATGAATCAAAACAAATAGGGGTCACACCCGCTTAGGCCAAGTTACGTAGCAAGAGATTTGAAGCCTTCCAAATAAGAAAGAAACAACACAATGACAAGTAGTAGTTTCAAAGAAATCCCTAGTCTAACAACAAGAATTAGAAAGCATAAAGGTGCACTCAAGCTCTATGTTTACTAAGTTTTAGCATGAGCAATAAAGAGTGGTCCGTCGTGACTGCAATCAAACCAAGAAAAGTTAGACTAAAAGAGATAAGATGAAAGGAGAAAAAGAACCTTTTGTCAAGGAGTGGTAGAGATCCTCCACTCGACGCCTTCGAAGTGCTCGTCAATAGCTTCCACCAAGGTATATAGAATACGCTCCAAGTAGTCTTCGACGGTGTGGTCAATCCTGGGGTTCACGTCGAAGAAGGTTGATCGTAGGATGTTGGTGAAGCCGTCTTCATCCCAAGTTAATCCGTATTCAGTTTCTGGATCCGCCATGCATGAGAGCTAAGTAACAAATCTCTTTCAACTTCACGATGCTCTTGAAGATATTCGAAAGAGAAAGAAGTTTCTCTTAATTTGAGAGGAGGGGAGCCCAGGAGCAAAAAAAATCTGAAATTGATTTCAGATTTTCTTTAACTATGGAGGTTTGAAGTTGCAATAAACTAAAAGGGGAAAGGAGAGACCTAGGGGCCGGCGGCATGGAGGTGTTAGGGGATTTATTTCCAAAATCCAATGTGTGGCTTTGGAAAGAAATAATGAGGCAACAGGGGTTTGAAAATTTCGGCCAAGAGGGATTTAAGGGATTTGAAATTATTTCCTAAGCGAGGGATGGGTTTTAGGAAATAATTAAAATAGTCTTAATGGGGCATGGGGAGGGGGTCGGCGGCATGCATGTGGGAGGGAGCAATTAGTGGGGTTAATTAAGGCTTCATAATTTAAGTTTTAGGATTAGGAAAGTTTTAATTTAAATTCAAATGAATTAAAATATTCAAAGGGATCTCATTCAAATACTTTCCTAAAATAGAGTAGTTAAATTAGGAAAGAATTTTGATTTCAAATTCAAAGGATTTGAATTTCAAAATCATTCCAATTTAATCACCAACCCAATTAGGAAACTTCAAGGGGAAAGGGGTTGGAGTGGGCTGGGTCGGCGGCTAGGGAGGTGGGATCGGTGGTATAGGGGTTTCTGGTATGGGAATTTGGCCGTGGGGTTGAAGGGGAAGTAAGGGTGGGTCGGCTGAGTGGGGAAATCCGGCGGCTAGGTGGGGGGTTTGGCCATGGGGTTGAAGGGGAGGAAGTGGGCTCGGGTGAGTGGGGGAAATCCGGCGGCTAGGAAAAGGGAAAGGGGAAAGAGGTAGGGGAAAGAACCACGAACCCGACTTATCAAGGTTGGTGGGTATTGCGTCAATCTCCCTCTCCTAGGAATCTCTCTCCATTAGAACTCTCAAGCTCTCATAAGAACTCATGCAAGAAGAAAATTTGTAATCAATCATTCATTACTCAAAACATCACACAAGAGGCTATAAATAGCCAAGTACAATGGACTCAAACAAATAAAAGATCAACTTGCCCTTTGGGCTCACACACGACAATTCCCACTAAAGGGGTACAAACGGAAAAACCAAAATGACACTAAGCAAATAGAAAAATACATGAATAATAAAATAACATAAATGACTCAGAAATACAAAGACTCGATCGTGGTCGTAGATCGGCGGTCACGCCTCTGATAAACCTTCCACGAGCTGATGTCCCCATCACGCCCGCATGGTTCCAGGACCTGCTTGTCGCCATGCCCGCACCGCCCCCTTCACGCTTTCGTCTGACCTTGCCGCCGCACCCGCACTAGCTTGCATCTGTGGTTCCGCGCCCAATCTCCCTATTACGGGTCGTGAATCGAGTTGATTCGGGTTAATGATGTTGACCCAAAACTATAACCAGGTTAGGTCAAATAGTGACGGGTCAATTTTAAGTTGAACCCGAACTAGGCAAGAAAATCAGTTTTAACACCCCTGCTCCATACCTGCTGTTGTTGTTATTGTTAAATGCATTATATTATTATTATTATTATTATTATTATTTTGTTATTATTGTTAAATGCATTACCAAGATAAGAAACATGTTAATTGTCAATATTCACTAATAAATATGTACACCTTCATGAATCCATTTATGCAACATATATTATGAGTACACCTAAAAAGTTAGAGGTAGGTCTAGAAAATTTGGTTAGAAAATATTAGAAATGATCTTTAGATTTGAATGAGGATTTGACTCTTAACAGGACACAATGGAGAAAAAATACTCATGAAGTCGACCCCACATACTAGGATAAAGGCTTGATGTTGTTGTTGTTGCTATTGTATATTATAATTACACCCAAGAAAATCCTAAATTTACTAACTAAATAATTATTGATTATTGAATATTATGATTCTTAACTTGTGGCTATTTAACAAACCTTATTAGTTAGACTGCATTTTATTGTAGCAATTATGGTCATCATACTATATACCATATAAAAGTGTAGTATGCATTTAACATAATAGCTTTGAGAAATTTGTTCAAGGTATCTTACTAAACATGTTTTATTATCTCATTTACTTTTTCATTCAAGAATAAACAATAAAAACAATAAGTAACAAACAGGCCCTAAGATAATACAATTTAAGTGTTTAACAACATAGATGCCAATAACATGGAAAGGAAAAACAAAATCTGGATTAATACATTTCTTATCAAATCTTGTTAGCACTATTTTGACATCTTCGAAACAAGAAGATGGCATTAACACATGATAAAATAGAAATATAAGCTTCTTAACAATATCTATGACTGAAAGCATCCAGGTAGCTTGACTAACCTGCGATGCCAGTGCCATTGGAACCATTGTCTGAATTTGACAAAGACACTGAATCAATTGAGTTCGGATCCTTTCACATCTCAAAGCAATTGACTCTGCTGTGAGAGCCTGTATGTAAATGAGTATCAATAACCATGCTACAAATACAATGCCACAACAAAATATTTCATGCAATAATTTAATTGTTTTTTTTTTCTGAAAAGGAAAAAAATTCCATTCAATAAAAGGAACATATTTGATGAATATTATTTAATTGGTATGTTGAAGACAAGGACACAGAATTAGGGTTGAGATTTAAACTCTGAGATCAAAGATACCTAAAACATTAAATCAATTTTATCTTGAATCGAACTAAAATCAAGCAAAACAAGACGAGCAAGAAAGCCAATATTTTGGCTCCGTCTGATTTCTGAACAAGGCTAAGAACAGATCAAGCCGACTCAAAAGTAGCTCGAAATATAAAAAGTGAACATTTTTCAAATTTAATTTATACATGGATGTGTACGTATGCTTATAAATATTATAAATATACATATAAATTTCAACATTAGTAAATAAATGATTTTGAACCAGCCAAGCCGAACTGGCTTGAAATCAAATTGGTTCAATCAAGGAGCCAATTTCAAACCAGATTATATTTGGTCAAGCTGATTTGAAGCCGAGACTAGATCAGATCCAAATCCGATCAATCTAACCCCTACACAAGGAATAAGAGAAGCAAGAAGCCTTATTGTCATCTAACTATTATAAGAACAAGAAAGTACACATGAAGAATTTGTTAAGGGGTTAATTACCATGATGTTTAATCAAGCTAGCATGCTCAAATAATTTGTGACCTAACTATGTTCATGATCATAATCAAAATTGATTCATAAACAAAACAGAGACAAAAGGAAATGAAGCTCGCAAAGGTTTTAGCCATTTTTTCGGAAAAAGGTAAATTTTAAAGCAATTTCTTCTGTTATAATATTCAGAAAGGTATGGCATTAATATTGGTATAAATAATTCAACATCTGAGATCAACTACCCAAAATCAAGGCACAGCCGCAAGAAACCAAAATGCTTAGGCAAAGAATAAAACATACCAAATACAATTTACTAGACTCTGAACAGTAATGAACAAGCAGCTTGCTTTTCTCGACTGTATTGTTCAGAGAACATAACACTTGTATTCCAGACGTGCTTCCTGGTTGAGCTGATTCTATACCAGGAAGAATGCAGCCAATTTTTTTTGAAACCTTCACAAGTTCAAAGCAGATTGCATCATGTACCTAAAATGCATAATTAATTAGAAGGTGGATGGACATTTCACACCTATAGGATGTTAAAAAACCACAATGGCCCTTCAAAGTATAGCATATGGATTAAGCTAATTGATATAATAAATAAAGTCATAAACTTGATTTCACTCTTTAGAAAAACAGTCTCTTTCTTTGTTGAATTGAAAATGACTGAATTTTATATATTCATTTAGCCTTTACTCAATCATCAACTATCTAACATATGAATATATCAATTATTTTGTGTTAAAAGGAAGTTTCATACAAAATAGCACCTTCTTCAATGGTCATATAAATCAGCTTGGAATTCCATTCGGTATAGAAAATTAAATTTTAAAACATCTATTATTATTTTTTAATAATAATGTCGGGTAATAAGCAAATTTATATTACTCGTATGATGTGGAACTCCAAAATTGAAAATTCAGATAGTTTTTTCTAAAGCTAGATATCAAGTAAGAGACATCTTTCGCAAGGTAGATTCAATATTCAATAAGTATTTTCCCAGTAATTATATTTATGTAATCTGGAAATTTCAGCTTGTCATTGAGATAATTAGCATACATGCCTATAATTTGGACATAAATGCAGCTCCTAATGCAATTCAATGTAGTTATACACTTTTAACTTAGAATGCTAGTCTAGGCTAGACTCTTAAATGTGCTGAAATGACTTCATATGCATGCGCACATCAAAACATCAAAATTGAATTGTCGGTCGTTACCTTCGGTTCGCAAGAAATTTTCAGCACTCGATCAACTTTAGTAACATCGCTATCCATTCAATGGATGGTGCAATTAATCTGAACATCAAACGTTGTCTCATATGTTAGGAATTATGGAAGTTCTCTTATGTTCCTTAACAAAAAAAAAGAATATAGACTGATAAAGATCAAATTCAAGAAACAGCCAAGGGCTTAATCACAAAATCAGTGAATCCAAATTCATAACTAAAGAAGCCTAAGTACAAATGAATCATATTTTAGATTTCTAAGAGCTGCCATAAAAAAGTATAAGTCTGTTTATATTTAGTTCATGATAAAACAAAAGCGAGAAGAAAACTGATATCACCATTCTATGAGTTGTAATTGAAGTCAATTCAATCATGCAATTGCGACACATGCTGTACAAGAATCATACAACAACAACATCAAGCCTATGTCCCACTACGTGGGGTCGGCTACATGAATCATTTTTTTCCATTGTGTCATGCTATTCTGTTAAAAGTCAAATTCTCATTTAAATCTAATAAAGATAAATCATTTCTAATAATTGCAGTAAAATGTGCTAACTGATCAGCATTTCATGCAGTAAGAGACAGATCCTTTAAACTATTAATATATTATTATTATGTGCTCAAATTGTATGTAGTGTAAATATTTGATCAGTAGATATTCATGTTAAGTTGTAAAGCCTAATTTATGCCCTACAAAAAAATATCTTTCGTATGATCTGTCTTATTAAATCTTCTGTTGGTTCATTAAAGGTAACCAATTTGTGCTAGTTGCTTCATTAAGAGTGTTTTGAAAATTTTACAATCTATATTTTTTTATTGTCATAATTTTTTGTTTATAAAAGGAGAGCGTTGTTTTTAGGGTATACTGAGTAGGAGTAGCAGGACATAGCCATCAATAAAACTCTACAACAAAATCATAATGAAATTTGTAGCAACTACAACCACCGCAAGTGACTATAGCTATCAATTGAGTGAACTTGAAGTAAAGTATTGGCAAGCTTGTTTGATGAACTCTTTCTGTTTATTTTCTCTCGATGCTTTAAATTAGGACCTATCTAATTCCTCTATGTTACAAAATAATACACAGGCAAATCACAAAAGCATTTAGTTCTACCTATGTTTGACTCAATTATAATTTTCTCAACCCCAATAAGTCCAACAAAACTATGCGGTCGCATATGAACAAAAGGGTGAAATAGAGAGCCTAAATTCTCAGCGCAAACAGGTCCGGAAAAAAACCGAAAAAGAAAGAACTTATGCCCGTCACGTGTAACAAATAACAAATATTTACCCCAAAAAAAAAATTGGAGAATTCCGAGCTCCAATCGAAGCCGCTGAGAAGTAATAACCATCAATCGAAGCAATAACACGAAGCCGCTCTCCTAGGGTTCAATCACCAAAGCTATTGATGCAAACAATTCAGTTCCTCAATTTCCGTAAAGATCTTCCCTTAGCAGACAAACACGATACAACAGAGAGAAAGAGGGAAGAGAGAGGGAGGAGGGGGTAGAGCAGGGAGAAAGAAGACCGGGACTTCAGGTCTTCGTTGAATGGAACGGCGGGAAGATGAGTATTTCGTGGGAGAAATTAGTCTGTGCGGGGAATGCGCCATGTCAGTCATACGTGCCGTACCGAGCCCTACAGAATTTTCAAACTCCAAATTTTTATTTTAAAATAATTTTCAAAAGTTTAGGTTGTTACATCTTTCACATGAGAGATATTTGAGAGCTAAGAGAACTAAAAAAATTTTATTAGATTTTTTTGGCAATTATCAATGAAAATCATAATTAATTATAGGCTTCGTTTGGGACTGCTTTTTTATTGCTTCTGAAAACAGAGTTTTAGTACAAAAAAATAAAAAAATTGTACTACAACTCCGTTTTAGAAAGCAATAAAAAAGCCGTCCCAAACGAAGCCATAATTATCATTATCACCTGATTTTTACCATCCAACTATTGTTACTTAATTGTTAACAGCAAATCCCATTATTAAATTTTTAAATGTTTGCCTATGGATGAATAACTTGTACAATCCCTATAGCGGGAATCAAGCAACTATCCTCAATAATATGATATCATAGAGACAAACATATTCTTATATCTATCATCTTGTAATACATAGTTTTCCCATTTCTAAGCTTTCCATATAATATATTATATTATCTTTTATGATCTTCATCAATATCTCTTGGACGCTATTACTATAACACATTCTTCTAATGTTGTTTGGCCTATTTGTAATCCTCCAAAAATTTTGATGTACTTAAATCAAAATTACATTATTGACACCTATCGTGAATTTATAAGAGATGGCTTGTTATGTCTTGTTTAGGAGAAATTCTCTTTAGGAAAAGGAACAACTTATCTCTCACTATAGTTTTCAATAATTTTCACCTTTGGCTAATGCAATTATGTAGCATTCTATTCAAATAAGATTCAAGTTGCTTGCAATTAATCCATATGATGAAACCTCTAACCCCTATTTGCATATTGACAACTACATGATCATTATGCACATTAAACATGCTTTTGATGCAATCAATTGCCAAGCTTTTCCCATAATCTTAAGAGATATAATACGCAGCTTACATTGATCTATTAGTTGAGAGCTTTGACTACCAACTAAGAGTTTTTGGGTTCGAAGCTTGCATGTGTGAGTTTGTCTTAATTGACTTAAATGTCCCAAAAATAAAGAGATATCCTCACACAATGCATGGCCTACTCTTTATGGATTAATTATTCATATATTTGCTATTTAAGCCATACTTTTTGGACAAATAATTTATTTCCCATAAGAGGACTCCTCTCATCTCTTTGGGATTAAGGGAGAGTCTCTAAAGTCTTAAGGAATGCTTTTAAATTTTATCTTCTAAAGCATGTTCTATCCCGTAAGTGAATCTAGTGTTATTAAGAGGTATGTTTCTTAGAAGTCTCTACCCTAAGAGCTATTATTCTGTACGGACTGCGGACGGGAAAACCATCCGGTTAAGCACTAGGTACCCAGCAGTACCGAGTGCGGGTACCAAGCTAGGTACCCAGCAATGGGGTGACATGACGCATTTTTATTGGTCTCCGGACGCCCTCCGCACAGAATAATAAATCCCACCCTAGACCTTTCGACTTTTCGTTGATATGGGAGTCAGTCCTCTCATACCTTAATCTTATTCATCAAATATAAGTATCAATAATTATTAATGAGGCCATCAACACTCATAAAAATTAATGTGAATAATCCTCAAATAAATAAGAATATATATAAAATAACATGCACCTATTACTGTACATGTACACGATTTACCTGTTATATAGAATTCTTGCAATAGTCTTGTACAGCCATTTGTAATAAGTCTATATATAGCTACTCATGTATCTGATCTAGGGGTGTAAGTTCAATCTATTTGTTGAATGCGGAAGCTGTATAATACCATTGGTAAAACTAGGCGGGAAAATAAAAGGACGGGCGGGAAAGCAAAACGAGCGGCTCGACGAGCAGTTCGATGGCTCGTTACAGTATCGCGAGTCGAGCTCGAGCTCGACTCGAGTTCGAGCTCGAGTTCGAGCTCGATATTCGGCTCACGAGTCGAGCTCGAACACCCCCTGATTCGAGCTTGACTCGACTCGTTTACACCCCTAATCTGATCCATTGAATAGATTGAATTACGTTTTACTCAGCTCTGTCTTTATGGTATCAGAGCAGTGTTTCTTTCCCCTTCCCTAAAGTTCTTTCTCCTCTTCTTCGCGGTTTGCTTCTTCCCTCTCCGATCATGGATGTCTCTTCCACATCACAAACAGAAGATTTCCCTGCATCTTCTTCTGAAGAAAGTGTCTCTATACCCGCTACCCTCAAATTCGTGATCTCCAACATCAAGATCATTGTTCCGATCCAACTCTCCTCTGATAACTATCTGATCTGGCGGTCTCAGGTTCTAAAACTTCTGAACGCCAATGGCTTTGCTTCTTTTCTCCTTCCGTCGTCTTCACGTCCGGCTAGCCACAAAACTCTGACTGACGGCAGCAAAGAACCAAATCCCAAACATCAAGAATGGATTCTTGTTGATCAAAATCTAGGGCTGGTCTTTGCTCTACATTATCTCCGACGATCTTACCATACGTTATCCATCTTGTCTCTGTTTCTGACATTTGGATCATGCTCGAACGCCAACTCCAATCATCAAATTGATCATGTGTCATTCAGCTCAAAAATGAGCTACACAATGTGCATATAAAATCTTAGAACATGATGCAATACCTTCAACAAATAAAGACCATAGTAGATAACATTGCCTTTGTCGAGTCTGTTATCGATCAAGAAGACATTATTCTCTATACTTTGAACGGCTTATCATCGTCCTACAATGCTCTTAAAACAGCAATTAGTGCAATGCAAACTACTATGGATCTTGATAATCTTTATTCTCTTTTGATTACCGAAGAAATCAATCTTCAGTCCGAGGTGGTTAGACAGATAAACCTTGGAGATTCATCCCCGGCTCTATACTCCAACAGAGGTCAAGGACGTGCACGATCATCCTCTCAGCAGTCTCGTCCATCAAACTCGAGCATTCCTCAATGCCAATTTTGTAACAAAAATGGACATCTCGCACATAATTGCTGGCATCGACTAAACACCTCCGTCAACCCTCTCGAAACAACTACTACAAATGCTTCCTCCCATGCGATGGTTGCCACGGCAGACACATTTAACCACGACTGGTATTTAGACTCAGGCGCGTCGGCTCATCTCACTAACTCCGTGGACAATCTCTCCCAAGCCACATCCTACAGTGGTACAGATAACATTACCATAGGTGACGGCAGATCTCTCTCTATTGCGCACTCAGGCAATGGAATTCTGCCAACACCGTATTGTAAGCTAAAACTAAACTCCTTATTTCATGTTCCTCACTTATCTCATAATCTGCTTTCTATTTCTAACCTTACTCAAGAGAGACATTTCCTCATGGCTTTAACATCGAGGATATGATGACAAACAAAATCCTTCTGTCGGGTTCAACTAGTAGAGGACTCTACCCGCTTCGTTCGGCCATCATGACTACATCCTCATTAAAGGCATTAACAGCTACCTCTCGGGCCACCTCTCTCTGGCACCAGAGACTGAGTCATCCACATCCTAGAATCATTAAAAGCTGTCTCGGCCACCGATAAAAGGCTTCACATACCGAATACCTTTAATTTATGTTCAGATTGTACGACCTCAAAAGCTCACAAACTATCGTTCTAAAATAAAACTCAAAGAGCTACTGCGCCTTTAGCTATTATTCATTCAGATGTTTGGGGTCCCTCCCCGGTTCCTTCGCATCAAGGTTTTCTTTATTATGTTGTATTTATCGAGGATTTTTCCCGTTTTCTAATGAGACATAAGTCTGAAGCTTTTGATATTTTTTGGAACTTTAAATTTTTTGTTAAAAAACAAACAAGATTTCAAATACAATGTCTTCATTCTGATGGTGGTACTGAGTACCTAAATTCCAACTTCAGAAACTTCTTAATTCACAATGGCATCTCGCACCAAACTTATTGTCCCTATACACCTGAACATAATGGGTTGGTCGAACGCAAGCATAGGCACCTTCTTAAAACCACTCGAACATTGCTCAACAGCGCATCTATTCCTCACTCGTTTTGGCCTGATGCGATTCTCACTACATCTTTTATTATCAATCGCTTACCTACGGTCACAACGAACTTCCAATCACCTCTTTATCTTCTTTTTCACAAAACTCATGACTACAAATTTTTCAAAGTCTTTGGTTGTGCCTGCTTCCCATGGGTACCGCCAAATCAACGCCACAAATTACAACCTCGATCTCGATCATGTGTCTTTCTTGGTTATTCTCATATTTCAAAAGGCTATAAGTGTTTAGATACTACAACTAACAAAATTTATATATCTAGACATGTAGTCTTTGATGAACTCACTTTCCCATTCAAACAAACATCTCTCCCTCCATCTCAAACTCCATCTCAGATACCTCCATCTCTTCTCGTTCCGATATCTCAAACCTTACAACAACCTACTACACTCAAACTGCCTAATACAAATCCCAATTCTGGCAACCTAGATTCCCGACCCAGGCCATCTGCTCCATCCAATATTCACACTACCCTCCCTACTCAAGGCATCTCAACTAATCCCTCTACACCTAATATTCCTGGCCCTTCAAATCTACCCAACATCAGCATTCATCCTATTTCCAACAATTCTATTCATTCCATGACCACCCGAACCAAAACATGCTCACTAAAATCCACTCAACGACTCAATCTTTTTCATCTCCAAAATTCTTCTTGGTCTACTCCCTCTCAAGAACCGACCACATACAATGAAGCTAGTCAACATGTGCATTAGAGACGAGCCATGGCAGATGAATTATATGCCTTACAAAAATAGGGAACTTGGGATCTCGTTCCTCTTACGCAAAATACTATCGTTCTAGGTAGCCGTTGGACGTAACGAATCAAGCACAAATCTGATGGAACCATTGCTCGTTTTAAAGCTCGTCTTGATGCTCAAGGCAACCACCAACAATATGGTTTAAATTACATTGAAACTTTCAGTCCTGTGGCCAAATTTCTAACTATACGAATTTTATTAACTATTGATGTTTCTAATGCTTGGTCTGTACATCAGCTAGACGTGACGAACGCGTTCCTACACGGCAACATTACTGAAACCATCTACATGAAACAGCCAAATGGCTTTGAAGACGATCACCATCCCGACCACGTTTGCAAACTTAAGAAAGCCATCTATGGCTTCAAACAAGCTCCTCGACAATGGTTTCAAACCTTTTCAAATTACCTTACCCCTTTTGGATTCTCCTTGGGCAAAGCAGATTCATCGTTATTCACTCTTCACAAGGGCAGCAGTCAACTATATTTGGTCATCTACGTAGATGATATACTTCTAACCGGCAATGATTCTTCTCTGATTGACACCGTAACTTCTCAGCTGCACCAACAATTCGCCATGAAAAATCTTGGTTTGGCCAACAGTTTTATGCCATAAACATTAAAGCAGCAGCAAACTCCTATATGATGTCACAAAAACAGTATGCCGACTCAATCTTGCAAATGGCTAGTATGACCGACTGTAAGCCATTAGCCAACCCCTGCTGTACCAAGTACTCGGAATCCAGCCTTCAACCGATCCTACCAACATATCCCAAGCTCTATAGTCAACTTACCGGTTCTTTACAGTACCTCACCATAACAAGATCGGATATATCCTTTGCCATTAATCTATTATGCCAACATATGCACAATCCCGATTCTCATCACTTTCATCTACTCCATCGACTACTTTGCTATATAAAAGGCACCATTTCACTTGGTTTACCTATCTTGCAGGGTCCAATGGAACTACACTCGTACTCAGACGCTGACTGGGCCGGTGACAAAGACACACGAAGATCTACTTCAGACTACTGCTCATTAATTCCTAGGCAACACCCTTATTTCCTGGAGTGTAAAGAAGTAGCACACCGTCACTCGCTCATCTACCAAAGCCGAATACCGATCGCTCGCTACAGCACTTGTTGATATTCTATGGCTCCGTCGTCTCTTACTCGACTTCCGCATTCCTCTACAATCTCCCACAAATTTACAATGCGATAGCACTTCAACTATTGCCTTAGCCAACAATCCCGTCTTCCATGCCCGTACGAAGCATATCGAAATAGATCATCACTTCATCAGGGATCACATTCAATCACAAACTGTTCAAATCTTTCCGATCTCAACAAAAGATCAAATTACCGATATATTCACCAAATCGCTCTCTACACCGCGCTATCACTATTTAAGAGACAAGCTGACTGTTCAACTAAGCCCATCAGCTTGAGGGGGTGTAATAACATGCACCTATTACTGTACATGTACATGGTTTTACCTGTTATCTAGAATTCTTGCATTAGTCTTGTACATCCATTTGTAATAAGTCTATATATAGCTACTCATGTATCTGATCCATTGAATAGATTGAATTATGTTTTACTCAGCTCTGTACGTCCTTTGTCCTTAATATATATATATATATATACTCACCAAAAAAAAAAAAAAAACTTGGCCTGTATATATATATATATCCTTCTTTGGCAGATAATAAAAAATTAATGAGGGTAATAATGTAAATTCACAAATTACCTTACCTATAAACATTATAAAATACAAAATTTATAATAATTTTTAACCCTTTTAGATGCTGACAATTACTTAAGAAAATAGCATGTGGGAATTGATTCACATAAAATAGATAACTTGAATTATTGAGCCCGCATTAGGCGCTTAAACTAACAACAAAAAACATGAAAGAGAAATCCTATGGGTTTATAAATTATAACTTAATACAGAAAATTTATAATTGGATCTTGCATGTTGATAGCCAAATCAAATTTCTTGAAGAGATGGATCTAGACTGGCTAAGATCATTCAGTTTTGAGGTTATTAAAGAACTTAAATGATGAATAAACCGTCTATGATCAAAATATTTAATATAGGCCTTTCGTTAAGAGTTATGAAATTTTGGTCAAATTTATCAAACTGTTATTTTTAAAATCATAATTCTCGGTATGAAGATAACCTTAACTAGAGACCAGTAAAAACTTGAATATTTGAGAAATTCTAAAGCTCTACTTGAAGTATTGTTGTAACTTAATTGTCGTTGATCTGTCTATTGTTATCATCTAATCAGTGCTGCCCCAATTGTCAGAGTCTTTATATTACCACCGTCTGATTGCCATAATTGGAACACTGTCATTTAAATGTTGTAATTCGACCACCGTTATTTTATTGTCAATGACTAAATGATATTATTTACCAGCTATCATCACTTTTTAGTACTTCTCTTAAAAAACTATAATATAAGTACGAAAGGCCAAATTCAAGCTCACAAACTTGTAATCTTATAATTGCCAATTAAGGGGAAAAAATAAATTAAGGACTTTGTAATTTTACCAATATAGTTGATCATTTTATTTGGATTTGTCCCTATAATTTATTCTCTTTCAAGATTTTTCACATAAAATTACAATGTCTCTCCTGAAATCTTCTTTAACTTGAGTGTGTGGAATATTTGTATAAGCTAAAACGTTAAACTCAGCCTCTATCACTCTGAATTTTCTATCATGCAACAAAATAATATGACTATACAAAGAGAATGATAGCGAAATTTGACATTTTATGATGAATATTTGAGTGTTCTTAAAAATGCAATTAGCTGTTAATTTGGACACAAGTTGTCAATCTAATCAATAAGATTAAGTCAAAATTTTTTATGTTGCTTTGATTTAACCTTGAATTAAGATAAATTTACTTATGATTAAATAAAATGGATCCAATTTTAGTTCAAATATCAAAATTAACCTCATATATAACTCAATTTATAAATAAAATCATCACACTATCACATTTATAATCTTAGGATTAAGCCCATCTGATCAATAAATATTACAAAAGATATGAATAAAATGTTTTTTTTTTTTAAAATACAATTTTAAATAGAAACAAAATTTATTTTAAAAATAAATAAATAATTAAAATTTATATCAAAAGGAAGCATTAAATGTTAATAAGAGAGATAATTTTCATGCGGGCTTCACATGGTTAAAAACTCTCTTGCAAACAAGAAGAAGGTTCATTAAGCCCAATTAAGAAAAAGGCCTATACAAATACAAAGACTCCATGAGCATAATGTTTACAATAAATAATTAAAAATAAAATCTTAGTTATAAATCTCCAATTTATTAAATTCAATATTATATCATAAATTTTATTTTTATGTATTTCATTCATAATTATAGATTCTTGTGCAATATTTTCATATCTTTTACCCATTTTTTTATAGCAATAATTAATATTATTTTACATTAAATAGCATAATAAAATAAAACCTAATTTATGATGAAAGCAATAGTTTACTACTACCAATATCAATGGATATGACTTGATCATAATCACACCCTTTCCAATATCTCTTATCTAAAATTTTTCTAATCAACAATTAATGATCCACATAATCTTACTTACATTGAATTTAATAAACAAAATACAAGTTGGTACTTGATATGAATTAAAACGAATTTCAATTATAAAGAAATTTAATAAAGATTTATTATAATGATTTTCTTAACACTAAGTCTAACTAAGGGGAATCATGTGGAAGATTTGATCTTAATTACATATCATTAATGATAAAACAACCATTCAATAAATAAGAACAAGTTGGTACCTTCATAGATTAGCTACATGTGGAGCTTTTTTTTTACCTAAACAAGAAGAAAAGCTACATGATCATGACTTGTAATTAAATATTATCCCTAATGGCCCACCATTGCTTAGCTTGGTTGGTGGGTGAGTACGGTAGGGAACCTACCAACCCGTGCTTGATTTCTCTCGAGCGGTAGCGCCTCTTAAGTGGGGCCCAATCAAGTGCTGGCCAGGAGGTTTTTAGGATGAGTGCCTCTTCTAGGTCAGCCAAAAATTAGTCAACCCGTCAAGCATCCTTTCGAGAGTGGCATTGGGTTGATACCCCGTTCAAAAAAAAAAGTCCCTAATCACTAATGGAGGGGTGACTGATAGATGCAAAGTGAGATAAGCTGAGTTTAATATAATTATTAATACAGTTTATACCCAAATATTATTATTAGATACTGGCTGATTTATTATCATATGTTACTTTTTTTTTAATATTTGAAAACTTATATAATCTTTAAACATAAAATCAGACTGTTTGATTATATATTTTTATGCAACAAATGAGAGGGGGGCTAAATTGAGGTGTTTGTGGAGCCAATTGGCAAAATTAGTGGTGATTAGCTATGCCAATGGCCACAATGTTGTTGAGATGAAACAATGTCAGATAATCCCTCTCTCTCTCTCTCTCTCTCTCTCTCTCTCTCTCTCTCTCTCTCTCTCTCTCTTACACACACTACTTAACCATCATTCCAAATCACAATTTCCTCCATCAACGCTTTACTTTCTTTCTCCTCTTGCTTCTTCTTCTTCTTCTTCTTCTTGAGGAATTAATGGAATCAAGAGAATCTGGCTCAACATGGACATCCGAGCAGAACAAGCTCTTTGAGCGAGCTCTTGCAGTTTACGATGAAGAAACACCGGAGAGGTGGGAGAAAGTTGCGAGCGCTGTCGGAGGGAAGTCAGCTGAGGAGGTGAAGATTCACTATGAGCTGCTCGTTGAAGATCTCAAGCACATTGAGTCTGGCAGTGTGCCTTTACCTAACTATAAGTTCTCCGGCAGCGGCCGGAAATCTACTGATAAGGAGAAGAGGTTCTTTGTTTCAAACTCTTCAGCATTTTCTTTATTGTTCTTACTGTTGCGTTGGCCTGTTTGAAATATTTTATCTTGATATTGTCTGATATGTTTCTCTTTGGATGGGATTAATTATTCTGTGGCATCTAATATCGTCTGGAGATTAATCATAATGCATCAGATCACTCATTCACTTGGTTCCGTGGCTCGGTACCCCGGGTGGTACTGCTCGATACCGCATGATGATACCGTTGACGTGATGTATTCTGTTTGGTCTCTATATGACATTCTGCGTCCAGTCTACGCACAAAATAATTTCTCATATTGTGTGTTATGATGAATATGTGAGGTTTTTATGTATATTATTCAGATTTTTAATAGTTGGTTGACTATGTTGATGTATGTGCTATAGGATTATGATATTCATTGCATTATTTCTGATTTTAGGCTTAATTTGAGATGATTTTCTTACTATTTTTTACAACAGCTTTAAAAAATAATCCCAAACGAAGCCTGAGATGAATTATCAGCTCTATATTTTTATCTAATAGAGTGATAAATTGTTCATATTATTTATGATTATAAGATGATAGGGTCTGTTTAAGGTAGTTTTTTTTTTTTTTCAAAACTTTATTTTCTAAAGAGTTGTCATACTTCTTTTTTCTATACTGTTTCTTATTATATTTTTAAAATTTTAAAGGTGTAAACCAATTTATTACAACTTTAATATCTAGATTGTCATAACGGTAAAAATACTATTGTCTAACTTTTTTAAAATTATATATATATATATAACACTCTTAACAAAATTTGAAAAATATTTTTCTCCATAATAAATATAAAGTATAGTATGCATAAATATAAGAAGATTTAGGCTTCGTTTGAAACATTTTTCTTACTGTTTTGTAAAATAAATTTTTGATAATGCACCAATAAAAATAGCTTTAAAATGATAATGACACTTAAGAAAATCATATATTTCTGATAATGCACCAATAAAAATTTCATTATATATTATAGTAAAATTTTAAAAAATATTATGAAATTAATAATGAGCTAAGAGAGAGAATAGTAATGAGCTGTTGCTTTCAGCTTTTGCAATCCAAAGACCTAACCTGTGGTGTTCCTTTTTTGTGCATATTATAATAAAACAAAGCAATCAGATCTAATCATCAGGGAACAACTTAGACAATTCTGATCATCCAGGTGAAGTTGTGGGTCCACATCAGGGCAAACTCAAACAAATTTATTTCAATTTTAATATTTTAATTTAATTTCCTCTCTCTCTAGTTCCCTATAGAATATGTTTATATCAATCAATTAAAATTTCATTTGGGATAATTTTTTTGCTACATAGTATCAAAATTTCTAATTTATAGTTCTTAAAATGACTTTCAGGTACAAAAATTTCTTTGATTAAAAATTTTTATACTAAAAAGTCATTTTAAAAAGTAGTAAGAAAGTTATCCCAAACGAAACCTAAGTTGTACTGTTGATTCAAATCTCAATTCAACAAATCGAGCAAGGCGTTATAGACTCATGACTGAGTCTTTTTCTTTTTGTTGATTTTTATATGATTTTTTTTTTCATATTGTGTAGGTTGTAATCGTATAGGAGTTATGTTCTAGTACATGACAGATTGTAAAAGCTACAAGAGAGAGCAAAGTGAAAGATTTGTATAATTTCTCCTAAATTTTAACAGTAAATTTCGAGTTTTTCAGGTAAATTCTAATTTTTTCTGTCATTTTCATCTTATTTCGTCCAATTTGTTTACTCCCAACATCTCTCTCTCTCTACATATATATACATAATTCAAAGACATAGGAGATCTTCTCTCTTATCCAAAGAGAAAAAATATATATTCTTTAATAATAAACATGATCTCATTGGGTATATAAGCATGCAATATTGTATTAAAATAGTTCTTTTCTTATCTCATTATCTTGTTAATTCTATAATAACATGTTATAATCGACATGATATCAAATACAATTATTATGATTTTTTTAATAGAATAAATGTTGATGATGATTGAATATTTTTTATATTTTTGGCTTGTAGGAAGAAGTGTACATGAAGCTCCAATGGACAGCTGCCATGTGTAAATTTAAGATTGTGGGCTCATTTATTGTCCCTTCTAGTTTGATTAAGAAGCAATGTACATATGTAGTGCTGAAGAAGGGTGAATAAAAAGAATGAGAAATAGCTAAGAATGTTGAATGTTGATATTCTTTGAGCTTTTGTGAATTATGGAGAAGAGGATAAGTGTATATGTTTGGTGTTTAGCTCTTATGTTTGTATTATTATTATTAATTTTCTCCTTTGGTGTTTCTAAATAATGCATTATTGTTATATAATTTTTGTTTTCATAAAGTGGGATAGTATTCTTATTGATTTTATGGGAGATTTAAAATGAAAAATTAAACGGTGTGAAGATATGCCAAATTTATAATTTCATTCACAGGTATAATACAACTTGCATATTAGTTTATACATAAATTCGAGGGGTAAGTTCCCTACCTAGGAGAGACCTTAGGAGCAAGTGCATTGGAAAAGTTCTAAGGGGTGAATACCCTAGACAAGTTTTAGGGGATAAGTATCCTAGGTAAGTCTTAGGGGGCGAGTACGCTCAGTGAGTCCTTGGGATAAGTATCTTTAATGAATTTGTGGAGGTTAATCCCTTGGACCAATGGAGGGTGTCTCATGAGAGTGATTGTGAACTGAGGGCGAATGTAATTGATGGAGCCATGATTATAGGTTATGTAGGTGTATACTTACAATAGCTTGGATGGAGATATTCGTAAGAGATTGATGCCTTTAGCTTGGGAGACTTGTTGGAATGTTTGAGTTCTCATAGGTGAATACCTATTTGAGTGAAGACTTATTAAGGCAAGTTAATTATTGGATCATACCCACTAGGAATATGTGATTCCTTGGCCGTGCTCCCTGGAAGTGAGCTCTTATAATGCATGCAAACTGCAATATTGGGGTAAATACCAACTTATTATTGACATACACTTGCAAATTCTCCTTAGGGTGAGCGGCTCTTGATCGAATGGCTCAAGGGTAAGCCTGCTTGACACTTGCACGTTACCTATACTAGCATGTACAGTCATGCATGGCTTGTGTCATTCATGATATCATAATGCTTCTACTAGAGACTATTTATAGAAATACAATATTCCAAAAGACTTATAAATTATATATTAACTCATAATACTTTATAATTCTCTATAAACTACATTGACACAAAAAACTTATTAATCTCATCATAAACTACTAATTGTATTAATTAAACCTAACATATATATTGACTTGCATAAATCAATTAATGTGATCTTACATGAATCTGAAAAAAAAAATCAATTAATGTGATCTTAACATATATAAACTATTTGCAGATGGAGATCACTCTTTTAAGACATACTCTAAGCGACTTTAACATGCATAATGATAACAACATTATTAATCAAGCAAAACAAACTATCATTCAATCCACACAAATAAAATGAAATGAATGCACTCACCATATATGAAGAAGCCAATATTTCATTTACTCTTAATCATATTACAGCTTGAGAACCATAGTTTATGGAAAAAAAAATTCCACCACAACTTATCTTAAAAAAATACTTTAGGAGTGTTAGATATGTGGGGAATATATCATGATATTTTGTAAATCATACAAATATTTAAATGTAATAATTTTATTGTAGAAGACCAATAAACATTATTGTTTTTCCTTAGAAAAAATTAAATTTCTTTTAATCTTTATTAAATGTTTATTATTTGTCAAATATAAAATATTCCACTAGAATTTTTAATGAAAAGACTTGAATCATTGATTGAGTTAGATTGTTATAATATCCAAGATGAAAATTTGATATAGATGAATATTAAAGCTGTCCAATTTATTTTGAAATAAGCCTAATATGAGTAATCATTTAAAATTATATGGCACTTTTATATAAAAAAATAAAATTTCAATGACTTTTAAACTTATCATAACAAAATTTTCAACTCCATTTTCATAACTTAGAAGATTTATGTATGTTTTTTTGTTATTTTGGGGGATTTATATACATAAATATCTAAGACTAATATTCTATTTACATATTTAAAATCTAAAACTTTTTATTTACTAAACTACCGGTCCATTAACTTATGTCTCACACGATCTCGTTTCTCACCTTTTGCTTGTTCGAAATTAAAATCTCAAAAGTCAAAATGATGGAGAAGGAATTCGCAATGAGATTTTATTAGGAGAAGAAATAAAAAGAGGTGAGGATTATTAGTACATAATAATAAACATATTTGTAAATAATGACGTGGATGCTCACATGTTACTGTACAATGCTCTATATATATATTCCACTACTGTGAATAACGAAGTAGCTTTTCCAATTTGTTAATACTGTCTCTATCCCCGTTTCTCTCTCTCTCTGTTTCTTCTTGAAATCCAGCTTAGGTTTCTTCATGGTATCAGACGGCGAAAGATCCTAATCTTTTCGCAAATGTCGATCTCCGCTACCTCCAATCCTCGCGATCCTCTGGATAATGATGGATCCAACGAAGCGATTCTATCACCTGCTCTGAAATTTGTTGTGGCTCATCTCAAATCGATTGTCTCGATTCAACTTTCCGGAGAAAACTACTCGATCTGGCGTGCTCAAATCATCAAGATATTCAAGGCCAACAAATTCGATAAGTTTCTTGAACCGCCTTCTACTCAATCTACCGATACTACGTCCTCTGAGCGAAGTTCGTCAGAGAATGAGTCGGCTCAGCTCACAACTCTGATCGATCAAAATCTGTCTGCGGCGATATGCTCAACAATTTCAACGACGATCTTACCTTATGTGGTACATCTTCAATCTACATCTAAGTCTGGTCAACTCTTGAATCAAGATTTCAGTCGACCAATCGTTCTAAAGTAATTCAACTTAAGAACGCTCTTCATCATATCTCGCTCAAGAATCAGACGGTGACGCAATACTTATCAGAAATCAAGATTTTAGTTGATCAAATTGCTGCGTCGGGTTCGACTGTTGACACGGAAGATGTGATCCTGTATATTCTTAA